TACGTTGCGCTAAAACATTCTTATAAACCATGCCGCCTAAGAAAGGCCCCCTCCTACATCGGAGTTTTTGAGGAAATAAATCCTCACTTGCTTCCTTTACCGGGGAACTGACAAGATGTAAGGCGCAGCTGGCCCATACTCCTGTCACATGCTGGGTTGGTTAACACACACTGCGCAGATCCATTATAATGAAGTGATGGACCGCCGCATCGAGGTTTGTGGAGCGGCGTCGTTTTGACGATATGGAGCAGTACGTAGTCGGATTATCGACCTATTTATTCTGGAATTAAAATACCACACCGCCGCTCGTACGCTTGCACGAGCCGTTGCCTCTGCGCGATTCTGGTGGGCAGCCCGTTGAGGGACGAAGACTGCCTCCGTGGTAGCAGCATGGTGGCTTCATACCTCCACTACCGGGGGATTAGAGCTGGTCCCTGTGACCACGTTGAGGATGCATCCATTGCCCTCGCGGAACAACGAGCGGCCCAGCCGTCTTCATGAGGTTTGTGAGCGCAGAAAGAAACAAGGTAGGCTACTTAAGCAAGGGACGCAAACTCATAAGGAACAAATGTCTTCATAATGATCTATTAAACCAAAAAGACTCGGACATGTGCTACGCATTCGCTCAGACATCTGAAAAACACAACAGTAGATTCAGCTCAGCTTGGGTTTCAATCGGTCAAGGTCTCTTTAGATAATTATTCTTAATGGGGACCCTGAAGCAAAGGTCTGGTCGTAAGATGGATAGAAGAGTGACAAATTCAACAAGATAAAAAGGTATCAACACTATATCTTACTTGGAGATACCTATATGGTGAAACTTGACTGTTTACCCTGTTCTATCAAACAACAATGATCTGGACATGCTTGCAGCTAACTACGTCTTTACTTCTTTATTCATAAATCGATTTCCTTTAAGATCTTGCCAAATATGTCTCTTGCTATTGCTGACTTAATGGAATGCCTAACGATAGAAATCCTCAACGAAAAGAGCAAGAACATAATTACATAAGCTGTGTATACCGATCACCTGCATCAAATATAGATGACTTCACTGAATGGATGGACAAATTATTTTGTCCTACAAACAAAAAAGAATTATTCATTTGTGGTGATTTTAACATCAATTTACTCAATCCAGCAAAACATAAGGCCATAGCAGACTTTTCTGACACCATGTGTAGCATATCCAACCATAACCAGACCGAGTAGACTAACAGTACATAGTGCCACACTGATTGACAACATATTTTCCAACACAATAGAGAAACCGATCACCAGTGGCTTGTTAATATGTGACATTTCTGATCATCTGCCAGTCTTCCTCCTGTGTGACTGTGACCTTGTATACAACACAAAAACTGATCCAAAGGAAACTTACAAACGAGAGAGAACTGAAGTAAATTTGAATGCCTTTAAAAATAGCTTAAATGAACAGGATTAGAGCTTAGTTTTAACTGAGACAAATGTAAATGTTGCATATGATACATTTCTGAAAATATTTCTTTCCTTGTATGATATACACTGTCCCATGAAATTGTGGCATAAAAAAAATAAACAAAAAAAAAGTCCCTGGCTCACAAGAGGAATCCTTAATTCTTGCAATAAGAAACAACATCTTTACAAATTGTTCATTAAGTTGAAGACCACTCAATCCAATGCAAAAGAAACTGAAGAAGCTGAACGCAAGTACAAGACATATAAAAATAAATTAACAAATATAATGCGCCTTAGTAAGCAATTATATTATGGAAGAACTCTAGATGTGAACACAAATAATATAAAGAAAACCCGGGACATACTAAATGGACTAATAAAACAAGGATCAACAAGAAAAGTGTATCCAGATTACTTCGATGACATCGATGGTGATAAGCATAATATTAACAACATAGTAAATGGTTTTAACAGTTTTTTTGTAAACATTGGTCCACAGCTTTCCGACAATATCTCTAATGAAAGTAATAGCCTAAGTATCAATCCAATTTCACTTAATCCTCATTCAATGTTTCTTGTTGCAACCAATGAACATGAAGTAAAGGAAGTTGTTCTTAAATTAAAAAACAAATTCTCCACAGATTGTCACGGTATTGACATGGCACTTGTGAAAAATGTAATAAACAATATTGTCAAACCCTTAACTCATATATGCAATCTCTCTCTCCAGTCTGGATGTTTCCCAAATAAGATGAAAATAGCTAAAGTCATACCAGTATTTAAAAATGGAAATAAACACTGTTTCACAAATTACAGACCTATCTCTCTATTACCACAGTTCTCAAAAGTCTTGGAAAGAATTTTCATCTCTCGGTTGGAAACATTTGTTGACAAACATGACCTCTTAAACAACAGTCAGTATGGATTCAGAGGAAAAAGAACCACTTCAATGGCCATAACTGAAGCAATAGAAGAAATAACAAATTCTTTGGATCAGAAATTACACACTATAGGAATCTTTATCGACTTAAAAAAAGCCTTTGATACAATAAATCACTCAATGCTGCTGGATAAATTACAAAAATATGGTATCAGGGGTGTCGCTGGAGAATGGCTCTGTGATTATTTAACTGGTAGAGTACAGTTTGTTCACATGGGGGATCATGTCTCCGAAAATCTTGGCATTACTTGTGGTGTCCCCCAGGGGTCAGTGTTGGGTCCCATGCTGTTTAACTTCTATATCAATGACATATTCGAAGTATCGCAGTCACTAAAACTAGTTCTTTTTGCGGATGACACTAGCATTTTTTGTAGTAGTCCTGACTGCAAACAACTTATTGATACTGTGGATGTTGAACTGACCAAAATAAAAACATGGATGGATGCCAACAAACTGTCCCTGAACCTAAATAAAACAAAGGCAATGATTTTCGGTTATGCAAAGAAAAATACAGAGTTTAAAATTAATATTGATGGAGTTGAAATTGAAAATGTTGCTGAAAATAAATTCCTAGGTGTAATCATGGATAACAAATTGTCATGGAAAGCCCATATAAGTTATGTGACGACAAAAATAGCTAAAAACATCTCAATCATGAATAAAGTGAAACATTATCTTGATTTTCATGCACTACACACACTATATTGTTCATTGGTATTACCCTACCTAACATACTGTGTTGAGGTGTGGGGTAACAACTACCAATGTTCAACAACACCCTTATTCTTATTGCAGAAACGAGCTGTGCGGATCATTCATAAAACAAGCTACTTGCATCACACTCACAAACTTTTTCTTAAATCTAAAATACTAAAATTCCCAGACCTTGTAAAATTTAACACCGCCATCATGTTATTCAAGGCATTTCACAAATTGTTACCTCATAACATACAAACATATTTTGTGCCTAAAGAAAAAAACTATAATCTAAGAGGTCTTGGACATTTTACACTTCCCAAATTTCGATCTACCCGTAAAAGTTTCTGTGTGACTGTGTGTGGTGTCAAACTGTGGAATGCTTTGGATCCTCAATTAAAGCTGCACTAACTGACTTTATTTTTGTATTCATTACGAAAATGCTATCCATGTCCATGTAGTGCATTGGGATATACATCATTTTGAAGAAAAAGTAGCGCAGATTTGTGCTGGCGTGACATTATATTTTAGATCGAGTTTTGATGAAACAAGGAAGAGAATGTGTTTCGGGTCGCGGATTGTGACCATCACAGTGACCACTAGCCCCACTTCGTGAGAAGCCACAGTCGTAGCACAGGCTGGTTAGCACACAGCGAGGCTATTAGGAGCGTGCTGAGTGATAGCACTCGCTCTCAGCAAGAGGTCCTGGTTCGATCCCGTCGACCAGGCTTTGAGTGAGTTGCATGTCTCCTGTCTGCGAGTTTCTCCGGTACCGGTTCCCTACCCAAAAACATGCAAGTTCTAGCATGCGCCCTGTATGCCTGCCCCTCTGAGGAGTGAGGACTATGCCAAATACAATGTAACCGCTTGAGACTCAGACTGCGTGAAAGGCGTATAAATAAAACTTACTACTTACTTACTACCTGAGCTCGTCTCTTCGTCACGGTTACTGCTTACACAGCGAGACAGCCATCCAAAAGAAAGCCCCGTTCCTCCGCTCTTCCCGGTTCTATCGTTCTATGGTCACGCCATCCACGTACAAATCCATATCCGTGTATTATCCATATTGAGAGACGCTAGCTCCGTCCCAACAGTGGGTGTGTGTGGGGGCGATAGCTTCGTGGGTGCGGGGAGGGGAGCAGAAAGAGAGAGGCCAGCGAGTCCACGGCTTCAAAATCCCAAAGTCAGTTAGTGCAGCTTTAATGCAATGCCAAGATATTCACAGATTTAAGACATTATATAAAAACAATGTCTGGTCCGAATACAGAGAGATTATGACTTGAATGTATTTCTCTTCTTTTCCCTCGACTCATGTTGGCATGTACTTGCTCTTGTTAATACATTTTGGAGTATGTTTCCTTACCATTGCTGGTATTTGCTGTTCATTACCATTGTTGGTATTTCTTTTTTTAAATTGTTTTTGCATGTAGTTTCTTTTTATTTTTTTATTATTATTATTTTTTACATTTGTCCCTGATGACATTTTCAATAACTCATTTTGCTTATGAACAATATGTTTAAGATTTTGATATCTGTGCTAAATTTACGTTGGAGCTAAAACCGGAGCCTTTACTTTACTTTACCCTTGTAATGACTGAAGTAATTAGGGGTGGGATTAAATAAGTGTCCACTTCTTCCCACTCCTTTTCGAGCATCCATAAGTGTTATGTTAGTATCACTCACTCTTTTTGTTATTACTCCTTTGTTATATTTTGTACATGTACCTAAGTTGCTTGAACTAATTATTTCTATGCCCGCTTACTTGCTCGGAATGAATAAATAAAAATAAAAAAACATACAACATAAACAAAAATGTATTGGAGCATTTACAGCTACTTAATAACAGCTACTTATTTCGTATATCATGTGTTCTCTTACTGCTGTCCTGTCTGTGCAACATTGAAATTTCCCCACTGTGGGACGAATAAAGGTTCTGAAGTCAAAGTCGACACCCTAATCCAAACTGCTCATAGGTTCTTGGCCCGTAAGATGTAAAATGGACAAGTAGCATAGTCAAAGGATCAATGAAACAAGGAATTCCAGACTGGATTCTTACAGAAACAGGAAGTCTTTATGTTGAACTCATGGATCGAGGAGTCAGGTCGAACAAGTCGATCTGACTCGTGCAGGTCATATATGTATCTGTTTGTACTTTCCTTTCTTGCAGAAGCTCCTTTTATAGTCTTTGACGGTACCAGCTCCACCTGTGCTCGACTCCAGCTCTTGTCATTAAGTGCCACGGAGCCGATTGATAGATGTGTTTGTCTTGTTCTGCTTCGACGTTGTCAGACGCCGTACGATCTTTTTGTGAACTCCAGGGTCTGCATTTCGCTCTGAGACCTGACTTAACGTTCTGACTCAAAAATACATTCTTACAGGTTATTTTATCTAATTTTACTGCACACTAGGCTCAAAAATTAGTGTAAACACAAACTATAAAGATGTAATAGTACAAACATAAAACACAACTATAAAGATGCATGAGATTCTGAAATCAATAAAATGATTTTTTCTTCTAATTTTCAGCTCAAAATGGCCTTGATCAACGGCGACACCAACATGAAGACGGATGGAGACACTAACCTCAAAGGCCCCGTGGCGGGTGTTTACCTCGACAAGGCCAAGGAAAAGATCTCGATCTACCAAGCCATGAAGAAGCGTCTGCTCAAACCTGCGACAGCGTTAGTTCTGCTCGAAGCCCAGGCCGCCACAGTTGGTATAATTGACCCGGTGGCAAACAAAACGCTGCCTGTTTCTGAGGCAATCAAAGAAGGAATAGTTGGGCCTGAGATGAGAGAGAAGCTCTTAGCAGCAGAGAACGCCCTCCATGGATACAAAGACCCCTACTCGGACCAAACAATATCCCTATTTCAGGCCATGCAAAAAGAAATAGTGACCAAAGAGTATGGTCTGCGATTGCTTGAAGCACAGATTGCAACAAAGGGTTTATTTGATCCAAATGACAAAGCCTGGATCTCAACTGAAGAAGCTGTCCAAAAAGGACTTTACCAAACAGATTTACTGAACAACCAGATGCCAGAGCTCAAAGTGATTTACAACCCAAACTCACAAGAAAAGGTGAATTATAAAAGTCTGATGGAAAAATGCATTGTGGACACAGACACAGGCCTGCTGCTGTTTCCAGTTTACATCACTTTTAAGGGTCTCAGAAGAGGGATCTCCTCCACAGAACTGCTAGAGTCCAAGATTATTGACAAGGAAACGTTTGATGATCTGCAAAGAGGCAAAACCACCACTGAGGATGTCATGTTACTGGAGTCAGTGAAGGAGTACTTGGAGGGTAAGGGCAGTATTGCTGGCATCGCAATTCTTTCCGACAACAAGAGAATGAGTATATATCAAGCCATGAAAAAGGGAATACTGATGCCAGGGACTGCGCTGGTCTTATTGGAGGCACAAGCGGCCACTGGCTTCATGATCGATCCTGTGGAAAACAAAATATACACTGTGGATGGGGCTATTAAAAACAAGCTGGTGGGCCCTGAGTTTCATGCCAAACTGAGATCCGCGGAGCGAGCAGTCACGGGATACAAAGATCCTTACACAGGGGAGACCATTTCCCTGTTCCAAGCCCTGTCGAAAGATCTAATCGTAAAAGACCATGGCATTCGTCTGCTTGAAGCACAAATTGCGACAGGCGGAATAATCGATCCGATCAATAGCCACAGACTCCCAACGGAAATTGCGTTTAAAAGAGGCTACTTCAATAAAGACATGCACACCATCTTGGAAGATTCAGGAGACGACACCAAAGGGTTTTTCGACCCAAATACAGAAGACAACCTTACTTACCTCCAGCTGATGGAAAGGTGTGTGATTGACCCCATTACTGGACTCTGCCTTCTTGGTCTCCAGGATAAAAAGGGCATCAACAACTTCATCTTTATTGACTACGATGTGAAGCTGACTTTCAAGCAAGAGATGGTCAATGTGACTTACGGCAAATACGCAGGCTTGACTGTGTCTCTGTGGGCACTGCTAATGTCTGAATACTTTGACGAGCACGAGCGAAGGGACATAATTCAAAAATACAAAGAAGGGACTCTCACCATCAAGACAATCGTAACAATGGTTTTAGAAAAAATTGAGAAGTCAGTGAAGACAACAGAATTGGTTTTCGAAGGCATCCGGGAGACGGTCACTGGTAAACAGCTGGTGGAAGCAGATATTATAAGTGCAGAGGTATTGGATAATCTAAAAAAGGGAAAAACATCTGTCAAGGAATTAACTCAAGATGAATCTGTCAACGTGTACCTCCAAGGAAAAGAATGCATCGCTGGTGTTCTTCTCCCCAATTCTCAAATAATGAGAATTTATCAAGCAAGAGAGGCAAGATTGCTGATGCCTGGAACAGCTCTGATTCTCCTGGAGGCACAGGCAGCTACAGGATTTATCATTGATCCCATTAGAAACAAGAGGTTCTCAGTAGATGATGCCGTTAGAGCCAAGATCGTGGGTCCTGACGTTTGGCAAAAGCTACGTTCAGCTGAGAAAGCAGTCACCGGATACATAAACCCATATGACGATCAGAAGATTTCTTTGTTTCAAGCAATGCAAAAAGACCTAATCATCAAAGAACATGGCATTCGTCTTCTTGAAGCACAGATTGCGACCGGGGGCATCATTGACCCAGTAAACAGTCTTCGTATCCCTGTTCATGTGGCCTACAAAAGAGGATACTTCAATGAGGAAATGAACCAAATCCTCCTTGACCCAAGTGATGACACCAAGGGATTTTTTGACCCCAACACCCATGAAAATCTGACATACTTGCAGCTCTTGGCAAGGTGTGTTACAGATCCCGTGACAGGTTTGTGTCTGCTGCCACTTACAGGCAAAGGCAAAAGGGTTAACATTGATAATAAGCTGAGGGGAATTTTCTCAACAACTCTTGTAACAGTTCGATATGGCCGTTTTAGGGGCCAACACACAACGCTTTGGGAGCTGATCAATTCAGAGTACATCTCAGAAGAGAAAAGACAAGAGTATTTCAGGCTCTACCGATCCAGAAAGATTACAATTGAAGAGCTAATCACGATCATTGTGAAGATAATTCACACAAAAGAATTGAAACAACAAGAAGGGTTGGCTTTTGATGGTCTCAGAGGAAAGGTTTCAGTTGTGGACCTCTTGGATCTTGATATTGTGGATGAAAAGACATACAGTTGTTTAGTTGAAGGAAAGATGTCAAGCAAAGACGTTTCTGACAAAGTGAGAAAATATCTTCAAGGGAAAAGCTGTGTTGCTGGTGTCCTTCTTGAAAACTCTAAGAAGAAGTTGAGTATCTATGAGGCACAAAGGATTGGTATTATTACCCCTGGCACCGCATTATGTCTTCTGGAAGCACAGGCAGCTACTGGGTTCATTGTTGACCCTTTGAACAATCAAAAGCTAACTGTGGAGCAGGCCCTTAAGGAGAAGATTATTGGCCCTCACATGTTTGAAAAGCTGCTGTCTGCAGAAAGGGCAGTGACTGGCTACACTGATCCATACACCGGGCAAAAGATATCCCTTTTCCAAGCCCTCAAAAAAGATCTTATTGTATATCAGCACGGGATTCGTTTGCTGGAGGCCCAGATTGCGACTGGTGGAATCATTGATCCTCTGAAATGTCTTCACCTTCCTCTTGATGTTGCGTGCAGAAAAGGGTATTTTGATGAAGAAATGAACAATATCCTTAATGACCCAAATGATGACACAAAGGGGTTTTTCTTCCCAAAGACGTCAGAGAACCTCACCTACCTGGATACGTTGAACAGATGTGTCAAAGATGAGAGCACTGGGCTATACCTGCTTCCAATAAATGACAAGCCCAAAGCCGAAGAGTCTAAAGTGTACACCCTGGAAGAGATTAAGAAGGAATTTGAAAAAATCTCAGTGAATGTGAAAATTGGTCGATATGCTGGAAAATCTGTGTCACTTTGGGAACTGATTCACTCAAGGTACCTCACTGAAGACCAACGCAATGAGCTGATTGAAAAATATAGGACAGGGACAATGACCACACAGACCATTATCACAACAATCATCTCTACCATTGAAAAGCTAGAAAACAGTGAAACTCCTCAAGTTGTGATGGGTCTGAGGAAGCCTGTTTCTGCACGTGAATTACACCAATGTGGAATTATTGATGAAGATACATTTAAAAAGATACAGGAGGGGCAGCTCTCCTTTCAAACAGTTATTATGTGGGAATCTGTCATGACATACTTGAGGGGGACTGGTGCCATTGCTGGAATAATACTGCATCCGTCACAGAAAGTCATGAGCTTTTATGAGGCAAAAAATAAGGAACTTTTGACCTCAGGTATTGCACTACTACTACTTGAGGCTCAAGCTGCAACAGGTTGGATTATTAATCCACTCACAAACAAAATTTTAACTGTGGATGGTGCTTCCAGAGAAGGGGTGATTGGACCTGACGTGCATGAGCAGCTTCTCTCAGCTGAAAGAGCAGCCATTGGATACAAAGACCCATACACAGACACGACTATATCCCTGTTTGAAGCAATGAATGAAGAACTGATTCCGAAAAGTGATGCCATTCGTCTTCTGGAAACACAGATAGCAACTGGAGGAATTATTGACCCAACTCACAGTCACCGGTTACCCCTAAAAACTGCCATTAAAAGGGGATTTATCGATGAGGAAACTAACAAAGCCATCCAAGCTCTAGATGAGGACAATAAGGGATATTTTGAACCTAACACCAAAGACAAGATGACATATGGTGAGCTGGTAAAGAAGTGTGAGAAGCATGTGGAGACAGGCGTCCTTCTACTGCCTCTTTATGAAAAGCAAGATCAGGAATTCCATACTAATGAGCGAATCGAGACTACATTCAAAAATATGACAGTAAACATTGATGCAGGGAAATTTAAGAACAAATCCACAACCCTGTGGGAAGTTTTAATCTCTGCATACATATCTGAGCAGAAAAGGAAGCAACTTCTGGACCAATACAAAACAAAGACCATTACAATTGAGGAGATAATCGAAATACTTACAGTAATTATCACAGAAGTCTCATCAAAAGAAAGGAAATTCAAAGGTCTAAGAAAGCAAGTGTCTGCTAGTGAACTTTATGAATCAAAGATTATTACAAAGGAGCTTTTTACGCAGATTATTCAAGGGGAAGTAACCGAGGAAAATATCCAGAAAATGGAATCCATTCAGAAGTATCTTGGAGCCACCAACTGCATTGCCGGAGTAAGAGTGGAATCTACAAAGAACATCATGAGTATCTATGGAGCTAAGAGTAAAGGGCTGCTTACTCCTGGAACTTCACTAGTTTTGCTAGAGGCTCAAGCTGCTACAGGCTTTGTTATTGACCCTGTGGAAAACAAGAAACTTTCAGTGGAGGAAGCTGTTGATCAGGGAGTTGTTGGCAGTGAGTGGAGAAAAAAGTTGTTGTCAGCAGAAAGAGCAGTGACAGGATACAAAGACCCATACACCGGAAATACAATATCTTTGTTCCAAGCCCTCCAAAAGGACCTCATAGTAAAAGACCATGGCATCCGTCTGCTAGAAGCTCAAATTGCCACAGGTGGTATCATCGATCCAGTTCATAGCCACAGGGTCCCCGTGCAAGTGGCCTATCAAAGAGGATACTTTGATGAAGACATGAGCATGATTCTGTCTGATGCGGATGATGACACAAAAGGCTTTTTTGATCCGAATACGCAAGAAAACCTCACTTACCTTCAACTAATAGAGAGATGTGTAATCGATCAAGAGACTGGTCTTGTTTTACTCCCGATTGTGAAGAAAGGAGAATTTTACTTCTTTGTTGACGAGTCAACCAAACTAATTTTAAAATCCAAATCAACAAACAAAGCGGGTGGAAAATACACAAGTCTTACTGTGTCAATGTGGGAACTTCTCTACTCCGAATACATAACAGAGGAGAAGAGACGAGAGCTCGTGGAAAAGTTCAAGTCTGGAGCAATAACAATTGACCAATTCTTAGAAACCCTCCTGACAATAATCCAAAAGAAAACCACCACCACAACAACCATCACCACCACAACCATGTCAGAGACGAGCAAAGCCCCTAAATTTCATGGAATCAGGAAAGATGTCAGTGTTACTGAACTGTTTGAATCAAAGATCATCAATGAGGACCTCTACAAAGACCTCAATACAGGAAAACTGACCGTGGACGAAGTTAGTGAAATGGAATCTGTCCGAAGGTATCTAGAAGGAACCAACAGCATCGCAGGAGTTTATCTGCAGTCCACCAAAGAAACTCTGAGCATCTATGAAGCCAAACAAAGAGGCCTCTTGACTCCTGGCACGTCATTAGTTCTTCTGGAAGCACAGGCTGCTACTGGCTTTGTCATTGATCCTGTAAAGAACAAGAAACTTTCAGTGGAGGATGCTGCAGCTCAGGGAGTCGTTGGCAGCGAGTGGAAAAACAAACTGTTGTCAGCAGAGAGAGCAGTGACAGGATACAAAGACCCCTACACTGACAAAATGATATCTTTGTTCCAAGCTCTTAAAAAGGACCTGATCGTAAAAGACCATGGCGTCCGTCTGCTTGAGGCTCAGATCGCCACCGGTGGCATCATTGATCCAGTTTACAGCCACAGAGTGCCTGTGCAGGTGGCCTACCAAAGAGGCTACTTTGATGAAGAAATTAACCAAATATTGTCGGACCCAGATGACGATACCAAAGGCTTCTTTGACCCAAACACCCATGAAAACCTGACATATCTTCAGCTGGTCGAGAGGTGCATCACAGACCAAAGAACTGGACTAAGCTTGTTAGTGATTGCAAAGAAGGGAGAATTTTACTTCTTTGTTGACGAGTCAACCAAACTAATTTTAAAATCCAAAACAACTAACCGAGCTGGTGGAAAATACACAGGTCTTACTGTGTCAATTTGGGAACTTCTCTACTCCAAATACATAACAGAGGAGAAGAGACGAGAGCTCGTGGAAAAGTTCAAGTCTGGAGCAATAACAATTGACCAATTCTTAGAAACCCTCCTGACAATAATCCAAAAGAAAACCACCACCACAACAACCATCACCACCACAACCATGTCAGAGACAAGCAAAGCCCCTAAATTTCATGGAATCAGGAAAGATGTCAGTGTTACTGAACTGTTTGAATCAAAGATCATCAATGAGGACCTCTACAAAGACCTCAATACAGGAAAACTGACCGTGGACGAAGTTAGTGAAATGGAATCTGTCCGAAGGTATCTAGAAGGAACCAACAGCATCGCAGGAGTTTATCTGCAGTCCACCAAAGAAACTCTGAGCATCTATGAAGCCAAACAAAGAGGCCTCTTGACTCCTGGCACGTCATTAGTTCTTCTGGAAGCACAGGCTGCTACTGGCTTTGTCATTGATCCTGTAAAGAACAAGAAACTTTCAGTGGAGGATGCTGCAGCTCAGGGAGTCGTTGGCAGCGAGTGGAAAAACAAACTGTTGTCAGCAGAGAGAGCAGTGACAGGATACAAAGACCCCTACACTGACAAAATGATATCTTTGTTCCAAGCTCTTAAAAAGGACCTGATCGTAAAAGACCATGGCGTCCGTCTGCTTGAGGCTCAGATCGCCACCGGTGGCATCATTGATCCAGTTTACAGCCACAGAGTGCCTGTGCAGGTGGCCTACCAAAGAGGCTACTTTGATGAAGAAATTAACCAAATATTGTCGGACCCAGATGACGATACCAAAGGCTTCTTTGACCCAAACACCCATGAAAAAACCTGACATATCTTCAGCTGGTCGAGAGGTGCATCACAGACCAAAGAACTGGACTAAGCTTGTTAGTGATTGCAAAGAAGGGAGAATTTTACTTCTTTGTTGACGAGTCAACCAAACTAATTTTAAAATCCAAAACAACTAACCGAGCTGGTGGAAAATACACAGGTCTTACTGTGTCAATTTGGGAACTTCTCTACTCCAAATACATAACAGAGGAGAAGAGACGAGAGCTCGTGGAAAAGTTCAAGTCTGGAGCAATAACAATTGACCAATTCTTAGAAACCCTCCTGACAATAATCCAAAAGAAAACCACCACCACAACAACCATCACCACCACAACCATGTCAGAGACAAGCAAAGCCCCTAAATTTCATGGAATCAGGAAAGATGTCAGTGTTACTGAACTGTTTGAATCAAAGATCATCAATGAGGACCTCTACAAAGACCTCAATACAGGAAAACTGACCGTGGACGAAGTTAGTGAAATGGAATCTGTCCGAAGGTATCTAGAAGGAACCAACAGCATCGCAGGAGTTTATCTGCAGTCCACCAAAGAAACTCTGAGCATCTATGAAGCCAAACAAAGAGGCCTCTTGACTCCTGGCACGTCATTAGTTCTTCTGGAAGCACAGGCTGCTACTGGCTTTGTCATTGATCCTGTAAAGAACAAGAAACTTTCAGTGGAGGATGCTGCAGCTCTGGGCGTTGTTGGCAGCGAGTGGAAAAACAAACTGTTGTCAGCAGAGAGAGCAGTGACAGGATACAAAGACCCCTACACTGACAAAATGATATCTTTGTTCCAAGCTCTTAAAAAGGACCTGATCGTAAAAGACCATGGCATCCGTCTGCTTGAGGCTCAGATTGCCACCGGTGGCATCATTGATCCAGTTTACAGCCACAGAGTGCCTGTGCAGGTGGCCTACCAAAGAGGCTACTTTGATGAAGAAATTAACCAAATATTGTCGGACCCAGATGACGATACCAAAGGCTTCTTTGACCCAAACACCCATGAAAACCTGACATATCTTCAGCTGGTCGAGAGGTGCATCACAGACCAAAGAACTGGACTAAGCTTGTTAGTGATTGCAAAGAAAGGAGAATTTTACTTCTTTGTTGACGAGTCAACCAAACTAATTTTAAAATCCAAAACAACTAACCGAGCTGGTGGAAAATACACAGGTCTTACTGTGTCAATTTGGGAACTTCTCTACTCCAAATACATAACAGAGGAGAAGAGACGAGAGCTCGTGGAAAAGTTCAAGTCTGGAGCAATAACAATTGACCAATTCTTAGAAACCCTCCTGACAATAATCCAAAAGAAAACCACCACCACAACAACCATCACCACCACAACCATGTCAGAGACGAGCAAAGCCCCTAAATTTCATGGAATCAGGAAAGATGTCAGTGTTGCTGAACTGTTTGAATCAAAGATCATCAATGAGGACCTCTACAAAGACCTCAATACAGGAAAACTGACCGTGGACGAAGTTAGTGAAATGGAATCTGTCCGAAAGTATCTAGAAGGAACCAACAGCATCGCAGGAGTTTATCTGCAGTCCACCAAAGAAACTCTGAGCATCTATGAAGCCAAACAAAGAGGCCTCTTGACTCCTGGCACGTCATTAGTTCTTCTGGAAGCACAGGCTGCTACTGGCTTTGTCATTGATCCTGTAAAGAACAAGAAACTTTCAGTGGAGGATGCTGCAGCTCTGGGCGTTGTTGGCAGCGAGTGGAAAAACAAACTGTTGTCAGCAGAGAGAGCAGTGACAGGATACAAAGACCCCTACACTGACAAAATGATATCTTTGTTCCAAGCTCTTAAAAAGGACCTGATCGTAAAAGACCATGGCGTCCGTCTGCTTGAGGCTCAGATCGCCACCGGTGGCATCATTGATCCAGTTTACAGCCACAGAGTGCCTGTGCAGGTGGCCTACCAAAGAGGCTACTTTGATGAAGAAATTAACCAAATATTGTCTGATGCCGGTGATGATACAAAAGGCTTCTTTGACCCAAACACCCATGAAAACCTGACATATCTTCAGCTGGTTCAAAGATGCATGATTGATCCAAAAACAGGACTAAGCTTGCTTCCACTAAATAAGAAAATGTAACATTGCTAACTAACATAAACCTGATGCAGATCCTTTTTTAACCCGTCTGGGTCTTCCTCAATGCTAAAGAAAAATATGCACTGGATGGGGTTTTACATTTGGACATATATGAACTTTTAGAGACTTTTAGAGAATAAATGTATTTCCACACATCTTATGACTCCTAATATTATTCCCCAATAAGCTTTAAAAGGTTGTAGTAATAATACTGGGAATATGCATTCAACGTGGCCAACAAGTCACTGTAATGACCAAGTCTGTGTTCTGCTGCGTACGTAACACAGCATTACATTATTCTCAACATTAGAATCAATAATAAAACCCTGTTGCTAATGTTGGACAGATATTGTTTCATAGTGTATAAAATACTCAGCTAATATAATAAACTCCTTCCGCTTTTCATCTACAGATCAAGTCTATTTAAAGGCTATTACTTTTTCTTTCTCTTCCTGTCTCGTTTTCAAACACAAAGTAATCTTTTCTGAACATAGAGCTAATGTCTAAAACAGTGTAGATGAGAGTTTGCATAAGGACAGGATTTCTCTGGGTGTATATTTATATTTGTACACAGTGCCTTGTGAAAGTATTTATACAGCTTGAACTTCTGCTTATTTTGTCATCTTACAATCACAAAGAAATGGTTTTAAAAATATATTTTACTGAACAACTACAGTAAAATATTTATGGAGTGGTCAAAATGACAAAACTTTAAAGTGAAATTTGCTGAATCCACTTTCCCATCAACCTTCCCAGTCCCTACTGAAGAAAAGCAGCCCCAGAGCAGGATGCTGCCACCCCCATATATCCACTGCTTTCATGATGGTTAGTGACCACAGCTGAGGTCCTCATATACAGCTGTACTTATACTGTATATATGCATTTAATCGTAAGGTCATGTTTATGAGAGAATGTGATGCTGTGCGAATACTTTTCAAAATAACAAAAAAATACATTCTTGTTCACTTCACAATTGTACAAAATAAAGTATAAAATGCAACTTAAAATCTTTGTTGTGGCTGTAAACATTGTCTATGGTGTATTAGTGCGTTAGGGAGGCGCAGTAAACATACATAAATATACTGAAGAGAAAAAAAACAAGGAAAATATTGAGTTTAGTTCATATTGTCGGTAGATTTTTCAGGATCAAAATCAACTTGGATTAAATCAAAACTTGACCAAAGGAAGGTTTAGTAACGCAGACGTCAGGAACGTTTAGGGTCCAATATTTAGTCACATAAACTCATGAACTTAAAAATTCAATTTGCTTGAAAATGCTGCTTCATCGACTGAAATACGATATTAGATGTTATTGTTATTAGAACCAGGATTTAAACCAAAACAAAGTAGACTGTGAAATAGTCTTTAGCGTGAAAACTTACTGGACTTTGTAAGACAGCGCCCTCAAGTGGGGAAAAGAAAAACACAGAAAACATTCAATCATTTATTTTACAAAAATCCTAGAACATAAACTCAGTGAAAACATTTTCAAACAGAACCATTTCTAAGCGAGCAGCGGCTTCACGCTGAGCTCCTCCCATGTGACTGAGCTCCTCTATCTCTAAGCGAGCAGCGGCTTCACGCTGAGCTCCTCCCATGTGACTGAGCTCCTCTATCTCTAAGCAAGCAGCGGCTTCACGCTGAGCTCCTCCCATGTGACTGAGCTCCTCTATCTCTAAGCGAGCAGCCACTCTGCAGAGGAAGCTCATTTCCATCTCGTCCTTTTGGTCATGACCGGAGGTGAGGGAGAGGACCAGGACCTGGAGAGGACCAGGACCTGGAGAGGACCAGGACCTGGAGAGGACCAGGACCTGGAGAGGACCAGGACCTGGAGAGGACCAGGACCTGGAGAGGACCAGGACCTGGAGAGGACCAGGACCTGGAGAGGATCAGGACCTGGAGAGGATCAGGACCTGGAGAGGACCAGGACCAGGACCTGGAGAGGACCAGGACCTGGAGAGGACCAGGACCTGGAGAGGACCAGGACCTGGAGAGGATCAGGACCTGGAGAGGATCAGGACCTGGAGAGGACCAGGACCTGGAGAGGACCAGGACCTGGAAAGGACCATGGCCTTGGGTCTGGAGGTATTGATTCCCATCCCTGCTGCTTCGCACTCGGCTGAAAACCGTCCCAGTGAATTATTTAGTGTAAGTTTTCCAGTAGAGGGAGGATGTCTGCCTGACCTCTGTAGATGCGCTTCAGTCCTCTGGGCAGATACCGGCACGACGTCAGGTTCAGGTAGTTTAATGAACTGGCTCGTCTCAGCAGTGACCTGTAAATACATCACTGTTAAAAACAATGGAAATAAAGCTGATCCAATAGCATGTGTTAGCTGATCCAATAGCATGTGTTACCTGATCCAATAGCATGTGTTAGCTGATCCGTTAGCATGTGTTAGCTGATCCGATAGCATGTGTTAGCTGAACCGTTAGCATGTGTTAGCTGATCCGTTAGCATGTGTTAGCTGATCCGTTAGCATGTGTTAGTTGATTGTTTAAGAGGATCCTACGGAGTCATACTTGAGCGGTGGCGCCGTGACCCTGGTCCCCGTGAGGTTGAGCGAGTGCAGCGTGTGAGGAGTCTGCGACAGGAAGCTGAGGGCGGAGTCCAGGTCGTCCTCCGTGAAGAGCTGATTGGCCAGATCCACCTGCTGCAGCGTGGCGCCCCACTTCTGCGTCACCAGCTGCAGTCCGGCTTTAGGCTGCAGCGACGTCAGAGCACTGCTGTTGTAGTACTGTCCCCAGAACAGGCACTGCAGGTCTGGGACAGAGGTTACTACTGTATCTCTGTGTCTACATGTACCTGTGTCTACATGTACCTGTGTCTCTATGTACCTGTGTCTCTCTGTGTCTATATGTACCTGTATCTCTGTGTCTATATGTACCTGTATCTCTGTGTCTATATGTACCTGTATCTCTGTGTCTATATGTACCTGTGTCTGTGTCTACATGTACCTGTGTCTACATGTACCTGTGTCTCTCTGTGTCTATATGTACCTGTGTCTCTGTGTCTATATGTACCTGTGTCTCTGTGTCTATATGTACCTGTGTCTCTGTGTCTATATGTACCTGTGTCTCTGTGTCTATATGTACCTGTGTCTCTCTGTGTCTAAATGTACCTGTGTCTCCCTGTGTCTCTGTGTCTAAATGTACCTGTGTCTACATGTACCTGTGTCTCTGTGTCTACATGTACCTGTGTCTACATGTACCTGTGTCTCTGTGTCTATATGTACCTGTGTCTCCCTGTGTCTCTGTGTCTATATGTACCTGTGTCTCCCTGTGTCTCTGTGTCTACATGTACCTGTGTCTACATGTACCTGTGTCTCTGTGTCTATATGTACCTGTGTCTCCCTGTGTCTCTGTGTCTATATGTACCTGTGTCTCCCTGTGTCTCTGTGTCTATATGTACCTGTGTCTCCCTGTGTCTCTGTGTCTATATGTACCTGTGTCTCTGTGTCTACATGTACCTGTGTCTACATGTACCTGTGTCTGTGTCTATATGTACCTGTGTCTCTGTGTCTACATGTACCTGTGTCTAAATGTACCTGTGTCTCTCTGTGTCTAAATGTACCTGTGTCTCTCTATGTCTAAATGTACCTGTGTCTCTCTATGTCTAAATGTACCTGTGTCTCTCTATGTCTAAATGTACCTGTGTCTAAATGCACCTGTGTCTCTTTGTGTCTATATGTACCTGTGTCTCTCTGTGTCTATATGTACCTGTGTCTCTCTGTGTCTAAATGTACCTGTGTCTCTCTATGTCTAAATGTACCTGTGTCTAAATGTACCTGTGTCTCTCTATGTCTAAATGTACCTGTGTCTAAATGTACCTGTGTCTCTCTATGTCTAAATGTACCTGTGTCTAAATGTACCTGTGTCTCTTTGTGTCTATATGTACCTGTGTCTACATGTACCTGTGTCTACATGTATGTACCTGTGTCTCTCTGTCTATATGTACCTGTGTTTCTGTTTCTATATGTACCTGTGTCTATATGTACCTGTGTCTCTGTGTCTATATGTACCTGTGTCTCTGTGTCTATATGTACCTGTGTCTCTGTTTCTATATGTACCTGTGTCTCTGTGTCTATATGTACCTGTGTCTATATGTACCTGTGTCTATATGTACCTGTGTCTATATGTACCTGTGTTCATGGATCATACGGAGCCTTATTAGATTAAATAAAGTCTCTGATGGTTTCATTATGGTTCATGGTTGATTTTTCTGATTTAGCCCAAACTGGACCAAACATGAAGATTAAATCCATTGTTTTCTATGAACCCATTTCAGTTATAATGCCTTTAACCATCAATGCTGTAAGTAAATAACTATAATCAATGAAAATCTTTTTAGGGGCCCCTCCAAATGGTCTTTGACGAGCCTGTGTTAAAGCATTAGTATTATTGCTGAGGCCTACCAGGGCAGGGCAGAGCAGCCAGTCCTGCAGGAGTGACCCGGTTGCAGCCTCTGAGGTCCAGCACCCGCAGTTTAGTGGAACCCAACAGGAAGTGCAGCAGGTCTGCGTCTGAGATGTAGCAGCAGGAGGTGGTGGCCAGAGACAGCTCCTCCAGCCTCGGGAAGCCACACGACTCCACCCCACGCATGGTCCTGTTGATGGGAATGACGTTCATGATCCGGAACGTCTGAGGGAACACGAGGAACACAAGAGCTCCAGGTTCAGACCAGAGCAGAGAGGATTCATGGTTTTACACTGGTCCAGACCAGAGCGGAGAGGATTCATGGTTTTACACTGGTCCAGACCAGAGCAGAGAGGATTCATGGTTTTATACTGGTCCAGACCAGAGCAGAGAGGATTCATGGTTTTACACTGGTCCAGACCAGAGCAGAGAGGATTCATGGTTTTATACTTGTCCAGACCAGAGCAGAGAGGATTCATGGTTTTACACTGGTCCAGACCAGAGCAGAGGATTCATGGTTCACTTGAATCTGTTAACTGTGCTATACAACTAAACTTGCCTTGGTAAAATTGACAGCTTAATATTGGCTTCAACAAATGTAAAAGCTTTTCTTAACCATAAGTTTGTGTAAGCCCTCAGTCGTACAGGGATTAGTCAAAGCAAAGGAAGGTTTCTCACCCATCATCTGTACTTCTTAGCAAGTTTTCCCGACGTTTTGTCCTCAAACTAGCGGACTTCTTCAGGGAATGAATTCTGATGATTAGCCTCAGCAGGGTCGTTAGATCTGCTCCCTTCTACATCAAGCAGACCTTAGATTGTTTATGAGTTAGTATCAGGATTAGGGTGTGGCTAACCACACCCATAGGTTATAAATCTCCAACGCGCGGTCCGAGAATTCATTCCCTGAAGAAGTCCTTAGGTTTGAGGACGAAACGTCGGGAAAACTTGCTAAGAAGTACAGATGATGGTGAGAAACCTTCCTTTGCTTTTTCTTAACCATGTTCTGCCTCTGGGACCATTCTGCTTTTTTCCTGTAGAACTAAACAGTGGCTCCAAAGGAACCTCTGAGCCCGAGGCAAGACTAATAATCTATTGTACATATTGTGTACTGCGTAATCTGTGTTTTTATAATAATCTATGTAAATGTGATGTATTTTTATGTCTTCGGGACCAGGCCTGCAATTTAGCCGTTAGCTATACGGCTATGAACATGGAAATGATTACCTATGACATTGCTTTTTGTTCTGTCCCTATCAAATAAACATATAATAATAATAATAATAATATCAGTAAGACATTGTTACACATAATAAAACAAATATCGTCTTACTTTGAGTTTGGGACACGCCATCTGAAGGCCCTGGACACACACATTTAGTTCACGAAGGTTAGAGTCCAGTTTCCTGTTTATCTCCAGCAGCTCTAAATTAGGACAACACCCTTTCTGAAAAAAACAAAGCTACAATTAGAACATTTATGGAAAAACACAGGCGAAAAGATTCTATGACAAAGACTTACGACAAAAGCTGAAAGTACCCGGTCAATTTTTTGTCCCAGTGTGAATAATATTTCTCTGATCTGACTGCCGTGAGATTCAAGGAAGTGTAGAAGACCGTCAACTTCAAACTGTGAAAACAAAAACTAGCATTAAACAGATGAAAGAAGACAAAGTGAAGCTGTAAATGTGAAAAGTAATCACCTCAGAGTACTGCAGGTCGAGGCGCTGCAGGGAGCGGCAGTGCAGGCCGAGGCTGTCCCAGGCTGGTTTAGTGAGGCCCGAGCAGTGAGAGAGCTTCAGGGAGCGCAGGTGAAGGCAGCGCCGGGACGTCACCTGGAAGTTCACAGCGTTATATTCATAGGAATCTGAATAACACGGACACAGGCCCTCGGTCACGCATGGAGAACATACTTACCTCCACAGCGTGATTCACGTTTCGAATCCAGTGACACAGAGAGAAGTCCTGTAGCTGTGAGAATCTGAGGAAACAGAACACTTGAAACATGGCACACATGGTCTGGAATGGTCTGGTTTGAGCCTGGTTTGGTCCTGGATTGGGCCTGGTTTGGGCCTGGATTGGGCCTGTATTGGGCCTGGATTGGGCCTGGATTGGGCCTGGTTTGGTCCTGGATTGTGCGTAGTTTGGGCCTGGATTGTGCCTAGTTTGGTCCTGGATTGTGCCTAGTTTGGTCCTGGATTGGGCCTGGTTTGGGCCTGGATTGTGCCTAGTTTGGTCCTGGATTGGGCCTGGTTTGGGCCTGGATTGGGCCTGGATTGGTCCTGGATTGGGCCTGGATTGGGCCTGGATTGGGCCTGGATTGGGCCTGGATTGGGCCTGGATTGGGCCTGGATTGGGCCTGGATTGGGCCTGGATTGGGCCTGGATTGGTCCTGGATTGGTCCTGGATTGTGCCTAGTTTGGTCCTGGATTGGGCCTGGTTTGGGCCTGGATTGGGCCTGGATTGGGCCTGGATTGGGCCTGGATTGGGCCTGGATTGGGCCTGGTTTGGGCCTGGTTTGGGCCTGGTTTGGGCCTGAATTGGTCCTGGATTGGTCCTGGATTGGGCCTGGATTGGGCCTGGATTGGGCCTGGATTGGGCCTGGATTGGGCCTGGATTGGGCCTGGATTGGGCCTGGATTGGGCCTGGATTGGGCCTGGATTGGCCCTGGTTTGCTCCGGGTTTGTTCCGGGTTTGGTTCTGGTGTGGTGCTGGTTTGGGCCTGGTTTGAGCCTGAATTGGTCCTGGTTTGGTCCTGGTTTGGTCCTGGATTGGTCCTGGATTGGTCCTGGTTTGGTCCTGGATTTAGCCTGGTTTGGGCCTGGTTTGGGCACGGATTGGACCCGGTTTGGGCCTGGTTTGGTCCTCTGGTAGTCCAAAGTCCAAAGTGTGTGAGAATGCAACACTAACTGGTCATTCTTATTGTGTTACTATAATATTCTGAGTCCCATTAATGATAAAACTAGATAAAAACCTGTTTTCCGCGAGCCAGTCGATGGTGTCTTTGATCTTCTTCTCAGTCTTGGGCAGCTGGCTCCTTCTTGGTTCGATCCAACAGTGGCTGATCGTGACACTGCGCCACAAGACTGGACTGGAGGCAGCTGCGTTCCATAATCTACAAACTCGAGCAGCTCTAAAGACACCAGAGGAAAAAACCACAAGATTCTTTTAACTAACTATTGATATTCACAGGTTTGATCTTTACTAAATGTTTTTCTGCGGTGAAGTTATGTTGCTAAATTGAGTTCAAGAATAATTTCCCTCAGGGGTCAATCAATAAAGTAGATATTATTAACCTTTACCCAACCTGCGAAGTCCCACTGAGATTTCATAATCTCTTTTTCAGGAGTCCTTGCCCCAGAGGGAGGGGGCCAGTGAGTCAGGGAGCGTGTTATGGGGGACTTTTATACAAACCTACGCAGACACAAGGAGAACATGCAAACTCCAGACAGAAAGCTCTGGACGTGGAATCGAACACAGAACTTTCTTTCTGCGATTTTACTACAAAGGTGTGATCCTCTACATCATGTGTGCGTGTCTTTAATAATAATAATAAATAAGTGTGGCTGTGGGTGGGTCTGCAGGGGTGGGTCTGCAGGGGTGGGTCTGCAGGGGTGGGTCTGCAGGGGTGGGTCTGCAGGGGTGGGTCTGCAGGGGTGGGTCTGCAGGGGTGGGTCTGCAGGGGTGGGTCTGCAGGGGTGGGTCTGCAGGGGTGGGTCGCAGGGTGGTCGCAGGGGTGGGTCTGCAGGGGTGGGTCTGCAGGGGTGGGTCAGCAGGGGTGGGTCTGCAGGGGTGGGTCAGCAGGGGTGGGTCAGCAGGGGTGGGTCTGCAGGGGTGGGTCTGCAGGGGTGGGTCGCAGGGGTGGGTCTGCAGGGGTGGGTCTGCAGGGGTGGGTCTGCAGGGGTGGGTCTGCAGGGGTGGGTCTGCAGGGGTGGGTCGCAGGGGTGGGTCGCAGGGGTGGGTCAGCAGGGGTGGGTCTGCAGGGGTGGGTCTGCAGGGGTGGGTCAGCAGGGGTGGGTCTGCAGGGGTGGGTCAGCAGGGGTGGGTCTGCAGGGGTGGGTCAGCAGGGGTGGGTCTGCAGGGGTGGGTCTGCAGGGGGGTCGGGAGGAGGGGTCATGGTCATGTGGGAGTGTTTTGGACCACATTGTAAAGCACTTTATTATTTTATCTGTTCGATCAATCAATTTATAAATAAAAAAGACCAAATGTTATCTTGTGGCCTAATCCCATTGGATCGAGTGAACTATGCTAACAATAACAGATGTATAACTCCAAAAGCACAACAGTGGAGTGCTGCATTACCTGCAGAGGAAAGGCACAGCTCCATCTTGGACGACGATCTTCTGAAAGACGTGTATGAGCAGCTCCTCAGGAACACTCAGTCCCCAGCGATGGTCCGACGGGTCCAACGAGACCAGCTCCACTGGACCAGTCTCCACTGGACCAGTCTCCACTGGACCAGTCTCCACTGGACCAGTCTCCTCTGCTTCTTCTACAGGTTCTTGTGTGACAACTGGCTTAGGGCGAACTGTTTTTTTTCTTTTTGTTTGAGCCAATGTTTTTTTGTTTTTCAGTATCTTCTTTTTAGAAACCTTCCTCCTGCGCGGCCCGTCCTCATACGTGGAGCTGCTGGACACTATCAAGAGCATGTCCTCTGCTTCTTGGACAGTGTAGCCGAGTCGAGCCGGCCTGGCCACACGGGACTTGGGTTTCTTTGGTTCTTTCTGCTGTGGCACCTTCCTTCTCTTCAACGGTGTTTCTGAACAGGCATAAAGACATTAAAGATAACGACATGTGTAAAGATCATTTAAGTATGTGTTTCGTCACAATGCACTTGGGAAAGGGCAGCAATGAAACAAATATAATCTTTGACTATTTTTAATATCATAAACTGGACTGCAGTATAAAGGCTCTAGTGAATGATTTTTATTCATATAAAACAAGTAGTGTCCATGTATTTTGTGAGAATCATGCATTTCAAGGTAATAACAGGCTAACTATGTATTACAGGGTGAAGATGAAGATCCGCACTACTACATATATATATTTCTGACTGGTATTGAAGTATTCACAGCATCTACAGCTAGTTAAGAAACATAGCTACTACATTTGTATTTTGTATATTTTGCGTGCTCTCACTACTGTCCTGTCTGTGCGCTGCAACATTGAAATTTCCCCACTGTGGGACGAATAAAGGAACTCTTATCTTATGAGCAAACATTTTCTGATATAATCTAATTAGCCATAACTGCACTCTTTATAAAAGTATAACCATAAACAATGTCATTAATAAAATCCATATGTATCTGAACTAAAACACTAAGAAACTCTATACTCAGCAGTTACCAGTGCCATCCTCTCGTGAGGACCCTTGACCCGAGTTCGAGGCCACATTTGGATTATCATCTAGGTCCATAGTAGATGGAATGGACCTCCACTTCTATCCAAGTTCTAGTCTGTAAACACAGGATAGGCAGAATTAACATAAGACCATATCCATCCAAACAAACCCAAAAGGCTGATAAAACCACAACACTGCCAGATATGCCATAATTAATATTCATCATATTTTAGCAAAACAAATGACACTGAAGAATAACTTAATTCTGTTAGATAAATATCTTGAGACATTGAACACACATTTAAACTGGGTAATGTTAGTCACGTCCAATTTGCAAATAAATCGATATAGTTCATTATTTAAGCTGCATTAGGTTAACCTGAATCTAAACAGCGTCCGATTGTCTTCCTGTTTATTGTTCTTACACTACGTTAGCTCGTTGCTTTCAGAAGTTGACAACAGCAATGCCCATCGCAAACACAGATCTCCATGATCTCAAAGAGCAAAGGAATGAAGTGCTGTTAGCTAGCGCAAGCATTGATACAGATGCGGTTCTCCGGCGTTAGCTAACCGTGGCTCTGTTTACAAGGTTAGCACACATGTCCACAGTCAATGGTTAGCACAGCAGTAGCACCAGTTTATTGTGTATCCAAATAGACTGCAACAATAACATTTGCAGTTACGTAGAAAGGAGAGACTCACTGCTCATTAAACACTTCAAAGTCATAGATAGTTTGCAGATATCTAAGCTGTTATCTTGCTTCCAGACAGCTCCAGTCCGTCTCTCAAGCATTCTCTCAAACCATACTTTGCTTCCTCACAATCCAAGAGAAAGAAACGTAACTCATGTTTGGATTGGAAGGAGACATGTGTGCAAACCGCCTTCCGGTAAACGGACCAATCACAGTGGAGCTTCTCTCACACACGGACCAATCACAGGCGACTCTGCCCCAGCTCCAGGCTCGTGTCCGTGTGTCTGCTCATGCTGTGGATATACATCAGTAAGCTCTTTTTACTAACTTTAAGCGATTTTTAAAACACATAAGGCAGCGATACAACAAGTGATGCGACTATATTTCTAAATTTATTTAACATTTCTTTAGATTTTGTCGGATTTTCTTCCTACTTTCTGTGACTGTTTTGCTTAGCACATCTAGCTAGCTGCTAACAGTAGCATTAGCATGGTTAGCACACGTGTTTTCAATGTTTTTTACGGAACATTTTCTGGTGGGGGAAGGAAAGTTTACATACATTTAAACACTGTTATTTTACACATTTTTTTACTTCAAATATCGTGTCATTATGTTTAATAGTAGTCGGTTTGTCATTTGAACTTGTGACTTTCTTATGTTTGTTGGAAATGTATTAACTTATTCATCAATATTGTCACAGGTAATCATGGCTGGTGATGACGATTATTCGTTAAGTGATAAAGACGTTGTGGAAGATTTGGAACTGCGTAAGTTTCACCGTCTCACTGTTTGGTAGCACAAGCTAAGTGCACGCTTTACCTTTGACAATCATTAGATGATATGATACGGCTGAAGCCACATTTTATAAATATATATTTGTATATGTACTTAATTTTATTATGTTTTTTTAAATGATATTATAATTAGGGCTGGGACTCGATTAAAAAAAAAAATCTAATTAGAGGCTTTGTGATTAATTAATCGCATTTTAAGCACATGCAAATATTTGTCCTGAGAACAGTGAGAAGTAATTTTTTTCACATGGATTTTTAGTTTACCATTGAATAATGACTGAATACATAAGTTTAAACACATGTTCATTGTGGATCTATCTGTCATCGCCTCCACACACTGTACTCGACTGCACTCGAAGTGAGCACTAAAGCTTATAATACGTTTGTGCATCAAACTAAAACATCAACAATAGCAGCTCACACACCTGTGTCGCTGCTGCTCTTCCTCCTCACACACCATAGCTCCAAACACAGCGCTCTTTCCCGTCTCTAACCATGGATCTAATTCACTCAGATTTAGAAACCGCTGAAGTTGGTCTATGCTTGTTATTAGGGGTGGGCGATATGGCCTAAAATTCATACTGCGGTATAATTTGGGACACAGACGGTAGACGGTATATATTGCGGTATAATTTGGTGTGAATTTCAATATAGGTCTAGCAGGTTCTTGAATGAAATAGTCAAGATTGTTACTTATTTAAATGTATTGTGCAAAACTGCAATTATACAGAACATTATAAAACTTCCAAGCAGCATTGCTGAGTTTCAACCACTAACCAAAAGGGGGCGGGGCATGTGTCCTTAGGACAGGAAGTATTTTTCTCCTATCAAATAGAATGGGCAATGCTGGAAAACGCAGACATAGGAGCTTTTTGCGGCTTAGTATAGAGTGAAAACTATTTTAATGCAGCGTACACTGTAGAGTTTGAATGAGTCAATTTTTTTCAACAATGAGAAAGATTAAGGCTGTTTTAGTGACGACAGTGGAGTCACTCTGGGATCAACAGAAACACGTCTGAGATGATACTTCTGATCAATAACACAATAAATATGGCACAGATGTTACTTTAGAAGCATTTGAAGCGAGAAATCTGACCCTTTGTCATTTTGGTGATTTGTTGAGTTGTAAATAACCAAAAGTACGGAGCTCCAGGGGGAGCTAACTGCTGTTAGCTTAATGCTACGTTAAGCTAACAGCAGTGAGTGAGCTAACAGCAGTGAGTGAGCTAACAGCGGGGGCTGCAATTAGAAAATGTATTTAACAGTTCTTTCTTTCTGTTGCCTCGGCTACTACAACCGTATACCACACAAAAATACTGCATTGTATAAATGAAAGTAAGCGAAGTAAAGACTGCGGACTGTCAGCTATCTCTGTGGCCGCAGATGCTACGCAAGCTAATGCTAATGCTAGCGCATTTCTTCCGTTCCTTATTAGGCATTTTCCTAAAAATTGACACCCGTTAGAGAAATATTATTTTGCAAAGTAGAGACTCCATAGGTTCCCCACTTGATATGAGCAGTTGTCACAACTGTACACGCCACAGAAAAAGAGCATTTTAACTCTGAATCAGTGAATGTTTACATTGTTCTTAGTGGGGAAATGTACTTCCTGTCCCTCGGAGCACTTTCGTCTCGTGCAAACCAGCGATGACATAATGACCTATCGCAATAAGCCGGTATAACAAAAATCTCTACCGTTGGACAAATTGATATTGCTTATACTGTTTATATCGCCCAGCCCGACTTGTTATGATGTACTTTTGAACAAGAAAAGTCACGGAGCTCAGTTGGCGCTCCAGTATAATCGGTCCGTCTTAAACTCATCCTCCAGTGAGGAAGGTTCCGCGGTGGAAAAAACATGCAATTAAAATGCGTCAATTTTTAAAACGCACTAATTTTGTGGCGTTAATTAATCGTAATTAAGGCGTTAAAGTCCCGGCCCTAATTATAATGCATATTTGCATATTTATAATACATATTTATTACTATATGGTCTTTACAAAAAATTAAATGAGTTTCTCCTTCATGGCCATGACCTGTATCAGTAAAAACATTTTTATCTGAATTGGCTTCCCATCTCCTGGTTCCAGAATCCAAAGAAATGTATGTTTTCCTCATGTGGAATTTGGGAAATAAACGCACGCTGTTCTATACTCTGCTTTAAAGTTTAAACCATCCAACCTCACTTTTCAGAACTGTTTTAAAACTTTCTTAAATGCACAGTTAGGAACACTTGTAGATGTTGTTTTTATTAATAGCAATAGTAGGTAGTAGCTGTATGAATATACATTTACTTTAAGTACTATTTGTGTAGGTCGAGATGTGGGGTGAGCAAATAGTTAAAGTAGTACTAGAATTTTATTTTACCAATTGCAGTTTTTGTAAGGTTAGAGCCATATAAACATTTGAGAAAAAAAGAAAACGGAAAAAAACCTTTTCTGAAACGTCCAGTTAAAACATGCCCCTGATTGTGACGTAGGTGAATGACATTCTGAATCAAAACACGCGCCTACTCTGTACTATACTGTTACTCAACCGCTTTTTTACTTTTCTTCGCCTTATTGCCAATAACGATGGGAAAAAGTGCGTCGCTTACAGCTGTACTAATGTAAATAAGGATAGCCTGTCTTTACCCAACTTCCCAAACCCTAAAACGGAGAAGGAGTGATTTGAGGAGGGGAACAGACGCGTCTGTTGGACCTGCCCTGTCTGTCCGCTGCAGGAGATCCTTGTCTGTTCTGAGCACTTCAGGACTGGTTTGAACACATTCATTCGGTGGCAGCGTCTTTGGGACACAAGACAAAGGCTACATTAAAACCTGATGCCGTCCCAACTGTAAATGAGGAGCAGAGCGAGGCATCTCCAACTGCCGCTAGGACAGACACTGTGACCCACAAGCGCAGGGTAAATCTTCTATGCAGTGGATGAGGTTTTAATTTATTGTTTAATGACAGTCAAAATTAGGGGTGGGCAATATGGCCTAAAATTCATATTGCGGTATAATTTTGGACACAGACGGTAGACGGTATATATTGCGGTATAATTTGGTGTGTGAATTTCAATATAGGTCTAGCAGGTTCTTGCATAAAATAGTCAAGATTGTTACTTATTTATATATTAGAATCTAATATATATATTTTTTGAGTTAGAAAATCAGTTGTGAGACGAATAAAGAGACAAATGTTGTAACATACGTTATTTATGTATGTTACAGTAAATACCATTCACTGTAAAAGCAATTTTTAAAAAGAAAAACATATGCATTCATTTAAAATATAAAAAACTCACAAATGTTGAAATCAAAGTCTGTAGGAGTTAGACATGGTCATTATTTATAGTGTCTGAGAGTTTTGTGCAGGTACATGACTTCAGTAAAAGCTATTGTTCGTTTACAAAGCTGGTCTTGCCATTTGTTGACGCTCCCTAAGCGCTTTTCTCTGCGCTTGCAGTGAACTGGATGATTCAATGGATTTATCTGCATTAAAACAGCATATTGGATTTGAACAATTTATGTAAATGATTATTTTGGCACAATCAATTTTGTTTAACAAAGTAGCTTTCGTGAGATATTGACCGCGGAGGTCCGAATCTGACGCTAACTTTCGCAAACTTCTGCTGTGATGATGCTGTGGACACGGCACACGCATGGATCTATTTTGGCTCACGCTGGCGCTTTGAGCCTACGCCTCTTTGACACTGATTGGCCAAAAGGTAGACACTTAAACTGTGATTACTGTGTGTGTATTTACCTCTGCTGGGGCCGCTGTGACAACAATACAGAGACAACACGGTGTTAATGCCGTGCTGCTGTTTGTTTCCAGTGGTGTCTGCTAGGCTAATAGTGCTAGGCTAATGCTGCTGAATGCCGGTTTGTTTTGGTCCTTTCTGCTGGCGTCAGAGCCTGCGCAATTTGATGACATAATGACCTATTGCAATATGCCGGTATAACAAAAATCTCTACCGTGGGCCAAATTTATATCGCATACCGCTTATACCGTTTATATCGCCCAGCCCTAGTCAAAATAAAACATATTTTATTTATTTTGAAACTGGGGTACCCTTTTCCTATTTTTTATTTCTTAACTGAAAGTGCAAAAGCACTTTATATTTTTTAAAAAGTCGAGCTATCTTATAAATGTTATAAGAAAGCCTCCTGAGTCAATATCTGTCTGAAAACTAATTTGAAGGCTTTGAATTGAAGGTCTTCGGTTGCAGTAATGATAATTCTATTTCTTGAAACCTGTTTTTCAGGAGATGAATACTACTGGAAGCTTGTGGCGGACTACATCGGTCCTCAGTCTGGGGAGGGATTAGATCTCCAACTAGTGCCTTGTACAAACAGAGTCTTGATTCAAGTGGGACTTCTGAAAGAGGATAACAACTTTTCCTGGCCGTCTATTGTGGAGTGGCTCAAAAAAATCTTTCCTGGTCATAAAACTTCTGACTTTCGCCGACTGATTGAAAGAGGAATTGCTACCACACTGAGTTTGCTCGGAGATTCCAGGCTAACGTTTCTTGAACTCGATGTCAATTTTGATTTTGTGGGACCTATTTGTGATAGTCTTGGCATTGAGCGTCAGGATCTCCTGGAGCTGAGGGATTTCTCAGAGAGAGCACAGTGGATTGAAGTCACAAATGGTTTGATCCTCGAGTTGGATGACTTTATCCAAAGGGAGAATCTGGCTTCTATTGTTATGGTTCACTGGCTTCAAAACTTTGACTCAGACTTTTGTAAGAAAGGGGACTTTTCAAAAATCCAAACAGAGCTAAAGGCAAGAATTAAAACACTTAAAATGTACTGCAATAATTCTGAAACTAAAAGCCGAAGAAACAGACGATACGTTGCAAACGAAACTTTACTTATAAGTCCATTTGATCTCATGTCTCTCCATGGCCAAACGGACGAGGCCACCACGAGCCAAAGCATGTTCAAAAGACGTAAAATGGATGAATATGCCTTTAAACCAGTGACAGTAAAGAAGGAGCCTGAAGATTGTGATATAGAGGAGGTGGTGGTGACAGAATCAAGTGGCTATAAGAATGAAAACATTCAAAGCAGCCCAGAGCAAGTTAAAGATATGGAAGACATAAGCCAGTACGATGAGTCATTAACATTGCTTGACGTCGCAGTAGAATCTGTCCGCAAACTGTCAAATGTTTACGGCGGGATCACAGGCCAATGTAAAGAAGTGTGTCTTCAACTCCTCAAAAACCAGTACTCACTCATGCGCAAAGAGAAACCAGAAGTGGATGAATTTGAGAAAGCTTTGGCCGATTATCCCTACAGGGTTTCTCTTGGCACTCCTGCAGAGTTCATACATCACAACGCCAACTTCATTTTAGAGTTACATCAGCTCGTAGAGGAGTTGATTCTTAGTTTGGAAAAGGATCTCGTCAAAAAATCCAGATCGAGGCTGGGCCGAGACAAATTGCCAAAGTTTCATTGTTTTGAAAATTTTAAGGAAAGCGCCACTTCCCGATACATCCACATGGCGAGCCAGTTGCTGAGTCCCAAGTCTGGAGAGAATCAGACTTTTAAAAAGCATTGGCTGGCCTTTTGTAGTGAAAAGAACAATCCCTCAGAACTGATGGAAGAACCGACGACCAGAATAAGTAATTACTTTGAAGCATCGGCTGGTTTCATTCACCACTTCAAAGAAATGGAGCCGTTTTTCTCCGACATGCTTGCCTTGGAGCAAGAGTCCTGCCCAAATATTGTCCTTGAAAGCGTTGCTGCAGATGCTAGCGACCCTATAATTCAGAGTTTTGTTTGCGTTTTGGCCTTAATATACTGCAAAATCCTTGGCCCTTACCAGCAACTGTTAAAAAGCGCTGCAACCTTTACCATGTACCCCTCCTACTTGCTGGGCTTGTATCAAACATTTCTGGATTGGTCCAAAGAGCCTACTACACTCCTCGAGCCCTACAAGAAGGCAAATATCTTTGCCATGATTCCAATGACGGAGAAAATCTACTGCGGGGTCTTCACTTTCTGTGGTTTAGGGACAACAAACCGAGATCTTATCAGAGGCACGTTAAAGCAAGCGGTCAAACTCATTGCTACAGCTGCAGACAAACATCTCAGACGTTATTTACCAGGTGGAACATATTCAAAAGTGCCTTCATCAGAGCTGTGCAGTAAACTGTCAAGATGCACTTTTTCAACATTGATGTTGGAAAATCCTTTTGGTCAAAGATTTTTTAAGAACAAGCAAGCCGAGAGTGAGCTTTCCTCTGCTGGTTCTGATGTCGAGGACGACTATGCTAAACCTCAATACGAGCAAGAACACGTTAAAAAAAGACACAATAATCCTCCTTTAAAGAAAAGAGTTGTCGTAGAGGAGTATGAAAAGAAGCCGGATAAACGACGAGGTCAAGAGGAATTTCCAGAAATCATGGATAGAGATTATATCATGGAGACGGTCAGGATGAACGGGGGGCCGTGTAAGACTCGAGGAGACCTGGAGAAGATGATGCTCCGGTTCGATGGATTGCGCCGAGCAGAGAAGGCCGAATGCATCCGCTGCGAAGTCCTCTACCAGAAGATGATCCTGAAAAACCCGAGCCCGTATCTGACCGATGCGAACGGAAACGCAACCCGTATTGTAGCCAAACTGAAGATGGCTCTGCCCCGGGTGAAACCAGGGTTCTCGCTGGTTTTAGCCCCAAAAATTACTCCGAAGTACCCTAAACCTAAACCAAAAGGCAGTGCAGAGACGAGTCCTGAGTCTACAAATGTTTGATTTCATATAAATAACACTTCTGATTATTTCTGAAGCACATTTCTTGTTAGTTACAAATGCCACTGCATTGATACAATTCTCACAATGGGAAAGTCCCCATTTCAATTTGAAAGGATTTTTTGGTGGCTTATAATCTCGCTTATTCAATGCACTAGTTTCAATAATGAAATTTCAATTTGTACATACATGTTTTTCTGTTTTATATATACTTTATCTCTGCCTAGAATAATGAATGAAACATAGACTCCTGTATGTTTCTGGTTTCATTAAAACTACTATTTTCTCATATTTCTGTCTCTTCATTACAAATACGTTTTTATAATGCTGCTTGTTCCAAAGATATGCATAATCCATTGTTTTTGTCAACATTGTAACAGTTGGCCCTTGTACACATTTTATTTACTCAGTTTGAGTTCCATAATTTAGACGGTTCCCTCATTTAAAATGAAATCACTTTTACAGAGATAGCTGCTCGGGATATAATTGAATCAACAAGCAAGTATACTGCAATAAAGGGGTTAACAAGACGAAAACATTGATATATGAAAACAGGATGGATGAGAACCATAGATGTCTGGTGATAATTTAACACCCGGATTCTGAAACTAGTAGAACGCCCAGAGCAGTCCTCCCCCAAGAATGTTTAATTTTTCACCATTTTTATTAAACGTAACTTATAAGATTAACCGGTAATCAAATTTGAAAAATTACTATCAGTGGTAGTTTGACCGGCTACCAAATGCTAACGGCTGCCAAGTAAACAGTGTTGCTATGGTAACTAGCACTTTTATCTTCTGACTGTACATTGAAAAAAGATAAAACCCCTCTTTCTTATAAAATTAAATGCCGTAAAATTGACTGCTTTGGAGACAGTTCTAGTGGTATTACAATACAACGTTTAATCACTTTGAATAAGTGCTATCACAGGTAGTTTAAGAGCTGCTAACGGCTGTTGCTATGGTAACCAGGACTTGATCTTCTCTGGTGGAAAATTTTATAAAGAATAAGGAAATGACTAAAGCAGAAAACACTCAAAAGGTAAATATGTGGCGCAATTAAGGAAAGTTTTTTTTAGGTTTATATTGGTTTATATTTTTATAGCACAGTTCACACACAAGGCAACAAAACAAGATAGAAACAATCGCACAAGGCATTATTACAATCATAAATAATTACTGCACATTTAAAAGAAAAAAGATAAAAAACCCTATTACAAAACTAAAGCATGTGCGTGATTGGTCAGGAGGGGCGGGCTCTTGCGTTGTTGCGTCACTGTCTCATGTGGTCACGTGTGTGTTCTTCCTCCACAGACAGAGGAGTCCGTGTCGGTCCGTGTCGGTCTGCTCTGCCCGCGGAGAGTGTATGGTCTGCCCGCGGAGAGAGGCAGCATGTCGGGCCGCTGGTGGAGCAGTGCCGCGGTCACTCACCTGCTCATGGCGCTGTTCGCAATGGGCTCCTGGGTCTCCGTCAACAGCCTCTGGGTCGAGATCCCGGTGGTGGTCAACGTGCTACCCGAAGGTCAGTGCGTGTGGCCCGGGGTGAATGTGACGACATCGACCGCCTGACCCACACCGGGACCCTCTCATGTCGTTAGCTCTCTGTTAGCATCTTAGCATTAGTTCTGTAATGGGAGCAGGTCCAGCAGGTCCACTGGGCATGCTGTGGCTGAGTGGATAGCACTCTCGCCTCTCAGCAAGAAGGTCCTGGGTTCGAATCCCGGTCGGAACAGGGCCTTTCTGAGTGGAGTTTGCATGTTCTCCCCGTGTCTGCGTAGGTTTCCTCCGGGTACTCCGGTTTCCCCTACCACTAAAACTATGTCCAATAGTTCTGGCATGTGCCTCCTGTACTGGCCCCGCTCCCATCTCTGTGTGGAGCGAGAGACAAATGCCCAAAATTAACAATTGTAAACCGCTTTGAGACTCAGATCTGCAGTGAAAAGGCGGTATATAAATAAAAACTTACTAACTTACTATTACTGTCTCCTCTGCTCCACCACAGCACTGCGCAGTAACAGCGGCTTTACAGATAGTTCCTTTCATCTTGGAGACTTATGCATGAGTTCAAAGGCAGTTGATAAGATATAACTATGAGAAAGAAAGACAGTTTGAGAAAGCAAATGTCCCAAATGTCTTCTTATATCATTATTTGATAGTGATTAAATTAACAAAGCCGCCATATTCTTTTCATGTTGAACGTCCCTTGTATTGGCCAACATTATGTATCTTTAAATATTGTCACCAAAATATTGAGACCACAGTTAACATGCACTGACAAAGAAGATGTGGAACTCTGGCAGTTTTTGATTAATATAGTTTGGTCCTGGAATTAAATACAAATTATCTGTAAGACTGTAAAGTGTGACATTGACTCCATACTTACCAGAAACTACTTTTTGGTTGCCCTTCTCCACAACAATAGGTTCTTTGGAATGTTGTGATGTCACACACCTCTTACAACATCGCATCAGTGAATAGCTTTTGTAAGACATGTCACCTCTAAATAAATCATTACCAGCCACCAAGGACTTTACATTATCCATCTTGATTATCAATAGTTATGTTATGTGGATGTTGTCTTATGTTTTGTTTAAAACAATGTTATATTTTATTTGTTATGGTTTAAAAAAATACATATCAAATTCATATTAAATACCAAAAATCTATAAATATCAATGCTGAAATTCATAGATATGGATACTGGTATATATACTTTATAGATTCTTGACATTTCGGAATCCAACCCCCAAAAGTCTGTAAGTGCTGGTCAGCTGATTTAAAAGACAGGAGTTCATTCTCTGTTTACTAAAGAGGTCATAAAGAAAGGGTCAATAGGTTCAGTGCCACAGCGAGCAAAGTAGGCTTCTTTAGATAACATTTTAATGATTTTTTTGTCCCAACTTCTTTATCTCCCAACAGAGAGATTGGTTTATTATAGTTTCCAATATAATGTTAGTTTGCTACAGCTCCAAAACATATGATTAATGAGTAGGAGTTTGATTAAAGTTACTCAGTTTACTGGCAGTATAGTATAGTATAGTATAGTATAGTATATAGTATGTGTGGTTTAGCACATTCAGTTGTATAAGTCTATGTCTGGTATTGGAGAGGATGGTTTGAGAATCTCTAAGAATGTTTTCCCATCTTTTAGTTGACATTTTTTTCTTGAAATCTTTTTCCCATTTTTCTTTTGTGGCAAATTCATATTTTAGTTGTTTAATCCTGGTTTCATAACATTTTGATATGAGGTTATTGACGAAGCTTGTACATACATTTTTATGCCTAGGGGTTCTCGAATGTCTTTCTGAAATCCTTTCTCTTTCCTTAATCCTACTTAAACTGGAGGTATTTATACAAGTTGGTATGGGGGAGTTTAGAATGTTGCTTAATACCCAAAAATTAATTGAACTAACAACAATTTAGGGTTATCAAAGAGCTGTGCTTTGATCTCCACAGGGGGTGCTCTGTAATAGTTGTAGTTTACCTTGAAAACAATTGGTATTGTGTTAAAATTAGTCTCTTCATTCGACTTCCTCATTCTCCTCAGGTTCTGGATGAAACGCACCCAGCCTCGATCACTTTGTTGTTTGTGTTTCAGGGTGGAACCTTCCGGCCTACCTGGTGGTCCTCATTGCTTTTGGAAACCTGGGTCCCATCGCGGTGACCGTCACTCACCACTGCTCTCCGGGACGACTCAACGAACGCATCGTCATCCACGTCATCCAGGCGCTGGCCGTCGTCACCGCCGCGTTCCTGGCCATTTCCTGGTCTTACACCGTCACCGTGGCGGGACAGGAGCGATCCATACCGTTCCTCATTTGTACTTTTGTTTTGTCTTTCGTCTGCTGCACTTCCAACGTCACCTTCCTGCCGTTCATGTTCCGATACCCGCCTCAGTACATCCGCACCTTCTTCATCGGGCAGGGATTGAGCGCCCTCTTCCCCTGCGTGGTCGCGCTGGGACAGGGCGTGGGGAAACTGGAGTGCAAGTCCGTCAACGGCACGATCCAGCCCGAGTATCTGAAGGAGAATTTCTCGGTTCAAAACTTCTTCTGGTTCCTGTTCGTCATGCTCTTGGTCTCTGCCTTGAGTTTCTTCGCCCTGACCAAGAGAGACACGGCTCAGGATCACGTCCCTCCAGAGACGGAGAAAAGCGGAGACGAAACCCAGGCCCTCCAGAACGGGACCCCAGTGTCGGAGCAGCAGGTGCAGCTGGAGGAGCAGCCGCCTCCCGCTCACTCCTTCTGGACCCTTCATAACATTTATCTCCTGGTCTTACTGGCTCTATCCAACGCTCTGACCAACGGAGTCCTGCCGTCGGTCCAGAGCTTCACCTGTCTGCCCTACAGCTCCATGACTTTCCATCTCTCTGTGGTCCTGGGCAACATCGCCAACCCCCTCGCCTGCTTCCTGGCCATGTTCTTTGTTTTGAGGTGAGGATTTGACCAGTTATACAGAAAGAAACTATATTATTGTGTTGTGCAATATTTAAAGCAACTGTAGGGTCATTCTCACTGAGCAAACCCATCTTTGCTTAGTCCAAAACCCAGATCTACACAACTACACACATGTTACTCCACTTACTACTATTAACCCTTTAATGGTTTCCTCAAACATTTGCTGGATCACTTTTTGAGTCACTATATCAACTTTAAGCTTGGAACTGAAATCTACCTCTTTGGGGAATCTCACTTGTAGTAATCTTTATTTATATACCGCCTTTTCACTGCAGATCTGAGTCTCAAAGCGGTTTACAATTGTTAATTTTGTTAAATTTGTCACTCCACACAGAGATGGGCGGGGCCAGTACAGGAGGCACATGCCAGACCTATTGTACATATTTTTAGTGGTAGGGGAAACCGGAGTACCCGGAGGAAACCTACGCAGACACGGGGAGAACATGCAAACTCCACTTGGTTTTAAACAACTGCATTTCAACCATTTGGTAAAGGCCTATGATAAAGAAAACCTAGGTTTTCAAAAAAATGAATAGGAGGGGGATATTACCTTTACATGTTTAGATGGCAAATGTTTTTCCCTACGAACTAACAGGAGAGACCAGTCCCAGCAGGAGGCCAGTCCCTGTGCTCCTCAGAGTCCCAGCAGGAGGCCAGTCCCTGTGCTCCTCAGAGTCCCAGCAGAAGGCCACCAGTCCCTGTGCTCCTCAGAGTCCCAGCAGGAGGCCAGTCCCTGTGCTCCTCAGAGTCCCAGCAGGAGAGACCAGTCCCTGTTGGTTTCTTCTGGCACATATGTTCTCTGGGCCACACAAAGCCAGCAGAGACCTGAGAACTGGCCTAAACTGGACTAAACTGGCCTTGATGCCGTGTCTGAAGTGTGTGCTGTGTCTGCAGGTCAGCGAGTGGCCTGGGCGGGTTGACCATCGCTGGAGGAGTCTTTGCCTCGTACCTCATGGCTCTGGCCGCCCTCAGCCCGTGCCCCCCGCTCCTGGGATCCTCGTCTGGGGTCGCTTTAGTGGTGAGTGCTTCTCTGTCCTGCTCTGGATCCACTTTGTTTACTCTACACAATAAACGTGACTTAATGAAATAAATGTTTATGATGCTCTTTGAACGAGGGTTTGGTGACGCCATTTCCACCCGCCCTACTCGGTTCGACTCTACCCTGATCAGGGTTTTTAACTGCTACTTCTTTAGTAACTGCTTGAATAATAGTCACAGATTGTTTTCTTTTTAAAAATGCTGCTACAATCTGCTTTTGTAAATGGCCTTGATGGATTCCTTTCTCCACATGCTCTGATAACCACACATTCTGCAGCTTCACCAAAGACACAACATGTAGTTCAGGGCCGATCAACTAGAGCTGCATGTTTCTACTTTTAAAGGACAACTAATAAACTCATAAACTGCATAAATATGTTTCTTATAGTTCTCTCTACATGTCCTGGTCACTTTATTTGATATTTAGTGCAAATTAGAAAAATAATCTAACTTTTGAGCCTAAAACCGTCTGTGTGGCGCCCTCTCTAGATTTTTGGTGGTACTACATTTGAATTTGGTCCCGGCCTCTCATTGGCTCTGGAGTACTGTATGACATCACTCTGCGACAGCGGTATAAACCCATCCAAATCTAGTATTCTGGCGACATCTAGTGGATTCATAATAAATTACATGATTTGACAGCCTTTCTGGTGTAAACTATTGGTTTAAGCAGCGATGACCACTGTTTGTTTTTTTGTTTGACAAGCGAGCTGTCAATCACAGCCCAGACCACGCCCACCTCTAAGCTTCCGCCTTCTTGTATCTTGGTCCTCTAGGCCAGTGGTTCCCAAAGTGGGGGTCCCGACCCCCCGGGGGGTCGCAAGATGATTTCTACACAAACAAAAAAAAAAGATATTTTTTTTTTGAGCAAATATAAAGCCTTTAAATATTTATTTAGCATTTGATTTGATTCAAAAGGACTACTTGTTAAATTGTGTTTGGAGACTATAATATATTTTAATAACGTTAGTAATTTTGTCCCAGTCATTGCAGCGTCAATCAAAATCATCACGTAACACAGCTCACATCATGCGCAGCGGCAAAGCGTGTCCTGCTGTTGTTTGCTAAAACTAAAGGTGTTTGAAGGCTACAAACAAATAATACCTGCTTTAAAATGAAACGTGGTTAATATCCACAACAGAAAAACCCGGAGGGGGAGAAAAGTCACTTGTATCAGGGGTCAGGCTGATGGTGCGAAGAGAGGGAGAGAGGGCAAAGGAGGGAGAGAGGGCAGAGGAGGGAGAGAGGGCAGAGGAGGGAGAGAGGGCAGCGGAGGGAGGGAGGGCAGAGGAGGGAGGGAGGGCAGAGGAGGGAGGGAGGACAGCGGTAGAACAGCGCGTTAAAGAGGCCCGGCTTTTCGGAGTCAAAGGTAAAGAGGTCCGCACATTAAAAGCGGGGTGGCCGGTTTATGCCTTTACTGACAGTAACTTTGGAAAGAGAAGCCGCGGGGATGAACCGCATAAAGTAACAGCAGAAAGCGGCCGCCCGCTTTTAATGTGCGGACCTCTTTACCGCTGACTCCGGAAAGCCGGCCCACTTTACCGCGGTAGGAGAACAGTGAGGGCGAGCCGCAAGAAATGCGCTCCACTTCTGCTGAGGAGGGAGCCCACCAAGCCCATCACTGTGTCACTACATGAGTAAAAATATGCAAGCCTCCTTTTTTGGGCTGGACAGTGCAGCTCGGTAGTGGCGTGAGTCTCTAGAAAGCGTTACTCCGTATCAAGGAAATACATGCTCATTTCATGTGACGGAAGGGATGTTGGGGGGGGGGGGTCGCGGGTTAGCAGGGCATTTATGATGGGGGTCGCGGGCTAAAAACTTTGGGAACCCCTGCTCTAGGCAACGCTCTTTTTAGATAACATGTGGGCGGAGTCAGGCTGTTAATGTGGGCGGAGTCAGGCTGTTCATGTGGGCGGAGTCAGGCTGTTCATGTGGGCGGAGTCAGGCTGTTCATAAGAGCGGAGTCAGGCTGTTCATGTGGGCGGAGTCAGGCTGTTCATGTGGGCGGAGTCAGGCTGTTCATGTGGGCGGAGTCAGGCTGTTCATGTGGGCGGAGTCAGGCTGTTCATGTGGGCGGAGTCAGGCTGTTCATGTGGGCGGAGTCAGGCTGTTCATGTGGGCGGAGTCCGGCTGTTCATGTGGGCGGAGTCAGGCTGTTCATGTGGTCGGAGTCAGGCTGTTCATGTGGGCGGAGTCAGGCTGTTCATGGGTTTAGTTGATCTTTAACCCCATTAACTTTCCAGCTGTTTATGAATGTATTGATTTAATCCATAACCTCCGTGTCGTGCTGTGGCAGGTCTTGTCGTGGATCCTCTTCACGGGCCTCTTCTCGTACCTGAAGGTGGTGATCGGGACGCTGCTGCACGAGGCCGGTCACGCCGCGCTGTTGTGGTGCGGCATCTTCATCCAGGCCGGCTCTCTGCTCGGGGCCCTGGTCATGTTCCCTCTGGTCAACATCTATCACGTGTTCTCCCGCTCCCAGGAGTGCGTCAACAACTGCAGCTAGCATCGCAAGCTAGCTCCTCATTCTAGCCACAGGAGAACACAGACAGACATACAGAAGGCTTCTCGATAATAGGGGCCTTTGTGAGCGCCGAAGAGCCGCGGGGGGAAGTGAATGTGCTTTTATAACCACGAGTGCTTTGTGCTGGTGATGAAGACGAGGAGCAGGTCATGTGCCCAAACTCAGGGAAAGAGCTTTAAGGTACTTCTGTTTACGTCTCTGCAGTAACTAAGCACAGTCCTGTGATTGGCTCGGGAATAACTGGATGATTTTACAGTTGTTTTTTTTATTATTTACAAATGATTTGAATAATGCCTTCATGCTAAGTCCAACGCAGCTGTGTTTATTGTTTAGTAGTTTACATGAGCCCAGATAAATGTGGAAAGTTGTCCTACCTCTTCTTTTTGTAGATATCAAATCATCAACGTTTTGCCAACATGATTTAGATCTGGGTCGATGCACTCTGTCCTCGAAGGGCCGAGTGGCTGCAGGTTTTCATTCCAACCGAGCAGGAGCGCACAGCAGACTCCACCCATTTGTTTCCTCAGGTGAGTCCAGTCTGAAGCTGGAGGACTGGAGGAAATGGGTGGAGTCTGCTGTGCTCCTGCTTGGTCGGAGTGAAAACCTGCAGCCGTTCCCCAGATTTATAATGTAAATGATTGTTACGGTGTATTCAAAGGGGAAAATGTGAGCCGTGTTCTCTCCATGGTGATGTTTGATTTGCTCAGAATAGTATTAAACACAAAACCAAAACGATAATGTTTAATAAACTTGAATACGTGTCAAAATTAGGGCTTTAACAAGTGAATTAGTGAATCACAACTAATCATTTTTTGAGCCACAACTAGTTGAAGGGAGTCCTGGACAAAAGTTACACACAATTACAGATTATAAAAACAGTCACGTGTCATTGGGCGGCACGGTGGCTGAGTGGATAGCACTCTCGCCTCTCAGCAAGAAGGTCTTGGGTTCAAATCCCGGTTGGACCAGGGCCTTTCTGAGTGGAGTTTGCATGTTCTCCCCGTGTCTGCGTAGGTTTCCTCCGGGTGCTCCGGTATCCCCTACCACTAAAAATATGTACAATAGGTCTGGCATGTGCCTCCTGTACTGGCCCCACTCCCAAAAAAATAACAATTGTAAACCTTTTTGAGACTCCGATGTGCAGTGAAAAGGCGGTATATAAATAAAGATTACTTATTGAGGACGACTCAGTCTGGATTTAAAGATCAGTCTTTTCGCAGCACATTCCGTTAAAACAAACCGTAAGAACCAACATCTCTTTGTGTGAATAATGACAGAGGTCAAAGGGCAGCAAAGGTATGATTCTATAACGACTGTGAAAATGTATGCACAAAGTATTTTGAATCGATAGCCCGATACCTAACAGGTCTTCTCTATGAGGGTGTTCTGCAGGAGCATCACTTTAGCTTTGTTTTGGTCAAATGTATAAAAAAAAACACATTTTGGATCCAAACAACTTGATTATCAAAATATTCGTTAGAGGTTAAATTTATGATCATTAATTCTCCAGACCTTCAGTAGTCGCAGGTTTTCATTCCAATCAAGCAGGCGTATAGTCTGCTCCACATCAGTCATCAAATGAGTCCAGTCTTAACCTGAAGACTTGAGGAAATTGGTTGGAATGAAGACCTGAGTTTGCAAAGCCCTGCTCCAGACAAAGCAACAACATTGCCATGGAAACCAGCGCCAAAGAGTTTCATATCACACTATTTTTCATGTATCGTTGCTTAAACATCATTCCTTTACTGCAGGGTGTCCAAGGGCCGCTGTGGCTGCAGGTTTTCATTCCAACCAAGCAGGAGCACACCACACTCCTCCCATTTCCTCAGTGAGTCCAGCCTCTGAACCTGGAGACTTGAGGAAATGGGTGGAGTCTGGTGTGCTCCTGCTTGGTTGGAGTGAAAACCCGCAGCAGTTTGACTCTCCTGCTTTAGTTTAACATGAGGCCAATTGTTTTTGATCATTCCATCTTTACTTGAAGAGAACCATGTCGTTTTTTTGTTTTCTTTGAAGTTTGTAATGACTTTTCTAATAACGGTGGTTTTGTAACAGTAACAAACTAAAGCATTTCTGAATCGAGTTGCACTAATTTGCTTTTGTGAAATAATAATAACCTGTGATTAAACTTGAAGATGGTTCTTTTCGTCTCGTGTTTGTGGTGGAGTGAACACGTTTGATGTTGACACACAAATATGAAATCCGGTTTGAACTAAAGCCAGAGTTTGGGAAGAAATCTCAGAAGGTTATTTTAAAAAACGTAGAAAAAGCAAGTTCTGCTTAATTACGTACCTGTTTTGACGGCGTAGTGGCTTTAGCTGAACGAATGAAGGCTCGTAGAGATGCATGTGCCCATTTTCTGTTTTAATTTCATTTCACAAATTCACTAAGAGCTCATTCATTCATTTTCTTCACCTTTATTAGTCTATTTCTGGGTCGGGGGGTGACAATGAGAGCTGCACCCAAGTCTCAGATCCTCTGCAGGGGGTGGGTCTACGGGAAGATGGCTGCTCCGTCAGAGATGCCACAACCTTGGTGTTTCAGTGGGGGCTTCAGGCAATGTGGGGTTAAGTGTCTTGCCCAAGGACACAACAACAGCAGACATTAGTGGGAGCAGTTGGAATAGGTCCCAACAACCCTAACCCTAACAGTAAGACTGCAGGAGCTGAAAACCATGAATACATTGAATCAGTTAAGCAGACAAAGAATCTTAAAAATCACATAAAAATACACACGTTATCCCCGCTCAGCTCGGCGTTTACCGTTTAAACAGTTCAGACCGGACACACCGTGTGACATTAAGTACAATCCGGAAGTTGCCCGGACAGACTTCAAAATAAACAAACCGTTCCTTACAGACGGTGCAGACTTCCACCTTCAAAGGCCTTCAAAGTCCAAACTTTAAACACAAGACGACATGACATTTTCACATTTATATCCTGAGATTACCACGGCAACCATAACCAGGAAGCAGTCAACTTGAAACAAAATCATGTGTGGACTCTACAATCTAACCTTGAACCAAATAATCTGCTCCTAACTTAAACTTTAATAGATTGTGATTCTTAATATCACTGATTTTGATAAAGAAACATTAACACAGGGTTGTCCCAGACTGAGGTAATTATTTTATAATTACCTCAGTCTGGGACAAAACAAGATTTCACTGATTCAAGTTTTCAAAACATAGATGGAAAGATACACATCCACCCTTCAACAAAAGATACTAACAATAGTACAGTGGCTCAGTTGGAAGAGCATCGGCCTTTGAGCCTGAAGGTCATGGGTTCAAGCCCACCACAAGCTTCACGACTCCCACTGATGACTGCTGTCGTTGTGTCCTTAGCCCCACTTTGCCTGAAGCCCCCACTGAAAGATCTCAGCAGCTGCAGGAGGATCAGTGAGGGGCTGGTGCTCTGACTGCCACCCCTGACCCAGATATGGATTAAGGGGAAGAAGATGGATGGGAAAAAATGGACTAACAAAAGTAAAATAAATAGTTAAATGTTTCTTGTTCAGTCTAAAGAACACATTCACAGTTTAATAATGACTGTGTGTACTTAGATTAAAGCTCATATATGTGTACGCCTTGTTGGTTAAAAGCTGGAGTGTTTGGACTGAAGACACGTGCAGCTTAAGCGTTCTCACACTCGGGTCCAAAACACGCGGCTCGGTCTTCGTGTTGAGAGCTGCTTAAAAGTGAAACCACACTGAGCTCAGCAGTTAAAGACTTCAGAGTTTACATTTCTGGTCCTGTAGATCAGTAAAGTCGTTACACTCATCCACAATAACATCCATGGGTCTATTTACTGAGTATTTTCAAAGTAATCGAGTACATACCGGACCCCATGACCATCTGCACTGTTGGCTACGCTGCAAAAAATTACACGAGTCAAGATTAGCCTTGATTTTAGAAGAAGTTCACTGCCTCAAAACAAGAACGGGACAAACCAGAAAGTGTTTAAGAGGCCTGAAAATTCTCTTATTTTATTCTTTTTATTCTTTTTCATTTGTTTTTGCTTGTTCTGCTCAAAAAATCCTGTTTTTAAAGTCACGTCTGAAACTCAACTTTAATTTCACGTTTAAAATAATGTATTTTTCAGACCATGGGACGCTGTAGGTTTGAAAGGAAAGAACCGCCCTCTCCATTTTGTGAACAAAACTCTCTGCTCTGATTGGACAAGAACGTGTCACCAGAATGATTGACAGTTGGGAGGACCAATAGTCTTGATGATACACCCGGAAGTAGAAGTAATTTCCAACAATAATGTATTTAAAACAATCTAAAATCAGGGAGATTTTCTGGAGAGTCTTTAAAAAGTCTCTTTTCACAGTTTTATTGATACCACCTTAAAGATAGATCCCATCACCTCTGTAGCTAAGCAGGGAAGGGCCTGGTTAGTACTGGGATGTGTCTTACTGTTTACTATCTGAGTGTGTTAACGGTAAAGTGTAAGTTTAAGTATCTGGACTCTAAAAAGTTCAAAAACTAAAATGACTTTGATAGATTGGATGGAAAATGTCAAAAACAGACAGATCAAAGAGAAAGTGTGGATAAAATAAAAAAGAAAAGATCGACAAATAAATGTAAAACCCAGACCGGCCTCTGATTGGATCATTCTGTGACTCTGAGAAAATAAAAGGTCAGAGACAAAAATGAACTCCACAGATTCACAACAACATCAGGAAATCACTGCATTTCAAAAAGAATCATTAAAAAACAAAAAAACATTTTTTTTTTTTAAATTTCCGTAAAAATTGTGTTTAACGAAAGGTTTCCCTCAATTCTTTGTTTTTTTAAATTAAACTTGAGAAAAAAAAATGATGCACTGTAGACAACTTTAAGCCAAGAATGAATCAGTGAGAAAAGAATAATTAACTGTATTTGTTATTGGTTCAGTTCCCGAGATTTCCAGGATTTCATAGAATATGTTCATGTTTTAATATTATTATTATTATTATTATTATGAGCTTTATTCTTTGGTTTCTCGGTCTGTGTTTGTGACGTGAACACGCAGAGTCCACACAAAGATCCTTTTGTCAAAGGTTCTTTAACGACCTTTTACTGCATCATGGGTTCGAACAACTGAACCATAAAATCAATCAAACAGTTTGAGATTTAAAGTATGTTTGGCCTCGGTCACTACAGACAGAGAGCGCCACCCTCCTTCAGCCAATCAGGTCGCAGCTCTCCCGGGGCTTCATGAACCAAACACGTTTTTATAATTCAATAAAAACAATAAAGTTTAAGGATTCATGAAGCAAAACGTGAGGAAGTTATCCCAGACATGTGATCTCTTTTTACTGTAACAGTCTCTGGACGCGACATGTGATCTCTGTCCCCCCGCGCCCCGCCGACCTCTGTCCCACGTGAAGGAAGGGATTTTAAACAATGAATAATCTGCAGACGTGAGGAAGAGGAGGAGGAGGAGGAGGAGGAGGGGGGAGGAGGAGGAGGGGGGGGAGGAGGAGGAGGGGGAGGAGGAGGAGGAAGAGGAGGAGGAGGAAGAGGAGGAGGAGGAAGAGGAGGAGGAGGAGGAAGAGGAGGAGGGTTGAACGCACCTCTGCTCCAGACCAGGACTTTGGATCAGAAAGCTCCGCTGCTGTTGATACTGCTGGTGCTGCTGCTGGTACTGCCACTGGTACTGCTGGTGCTGCTGGTGCTGCTGCTGGTACTGCTGGTGCTGCTGCTGCTGCTGGTACTGCCACTGGTACTGCTGTTGCTGCTGTTATTGCTGGTGCTACTGGTACCATGTGAGTATTTGCACAAACCAAACATCAACAATAACAATGTACTTCATGTGTGACAGAACGATTGTTTCATGCAACATCCTGAGACCAGTTTGAGAAACAGATGAAAGAATATTCTTCTGATCGGATGATACATGGATACATTTGGTTCTTGTGTTGTGATAAAAAAACTAAAAAATTTGACTAAAAAGTGGATAAAAGCAAAGAAAAGGGAAGGACAGGAGTCAGACTGTACGAAGAACAATGTGTGGCTGCTGCAGGAGTCAGACTGTACGAAGAACAATGTGTGGCTGCTGCAGGAGTCAGACTGTACGAAGAACAATGTGTGGCTGCTGCAGGAGTCAGACTGTACGAAGAACAACGTGTGGCATGGATACACTTTCACATTGACCTTTAGGTTATCATTAAGCTGCAACATTACTAACTGTTTCATGAACTTTGATGTTCTGCAGTGTTTGAAGCACAGCTGGGAGACCTGTGTTTATATGTGTTACTCTTGTCTCAGTGGGACCTTTGGAAACGTGTTTTTAAAGATGTGCCAGATAAATAAACTGGATTGGGACGTGGGAAATGTAGAGAAATGTGGAATGTGTTCAGTTTTATGATGGACTCAAAGGTTCCATACGATAAAAGTGTTGCTCTAACGGCCGTAACATCTGCCCACGGGATATTTCTGCTTCCTCTGCCTCAGAAAGAGACTCTGAGGAGCACAGGGACCAGGACTCTGAGGAGCACAGGGACTGGCCTCCTGCTGGGACTCTGAGGAGCACAGGGACTGGCCTCCTGCTGGGACTCTGAGGAGCACAGGGACTGGCCTCCTGCTGGGACTCTGAGGAGCACAGGGACTGGACTCCTTCTGGGACTCTGAGGAGCACAGGGACTAGACTCCTGCTGGGACTCTGAGGAGCACAGGGACTAGACTCCTGCTGGGACTCTGAGGAGCACAGGGACTAGACTCCTGCTGGGACTCTGAGGAGCACAGGGACTAGACTCCTGCTGGGACTCTGAGGAGCACAGGGACTGGCCTTCTGCTGGGACTCTGAGGAGCACAGGGACTGGCCTCCTGCTGGGACTCTGAGGAGCACAGGGACTGGCCTCCTGCTGGGACTCTGAGGAGCACAGGGACTGGACTCCTGCTGGGACTCTGAGGAGCACAGGGACTAGACTCCTGCTGGGACTCTGAGGAGCACAGGGACTAGACTCCTGCTGGGACTCTGAGGAGCACAGGGACTGGACTCCTGCTGGGACTCTGAGGAGCACAGGGACTGGACTCCTGCTGGGAACTTTTCTTCTTCTTTCTCCTCCTCCTTCTTCTTCTTCTCCTTCTTCTTCTTCTTCTTCTCCTTCTTCTTCTTTCCTTTCTCCAGATTGTCATTTCTTCTTCTCTAACCTTGATTCTTTTCAGTATTATTGAGTCTCCTGCAGTTGACCGGACAAAACGTTGGTCAGATGTTGTTTCCGTGGTTACGTAAGAACCACATGAGGTCCTGTTGTTTCTCCTGAGATCTAAATCCAACTGGACAGACCCGGGACGGACTCGGCCACGTGAGAAAGATGAAGAATTAACTCTGACGAACCCACGGCTTTGGACCATTCAAACATTAACACCACAGTAAAGTCTTCTCAGGTCGAGCTGGATCAGTCCTGTCCTCGTGTCAAATGTTTCTATCGTTCATGCTGTGATTCATACACTGCACAAAGTGAGCAGGAATAGGTCAAAAAGTGCTCAAATAAAAGAATAATAGTTCTAATTTGAGCACATGTTGACTGCCTTATAATAAGATCTGCCAATGATTTAAAAAGACACAGAAATGTCTCCCTTGGAATGAGAAATTAAGTTAGAAGGAACTCAAATAAAGATAAAAACCAGATTCAAACCTTTATGAGCTCATATTTGATATTTTTTGCAGTGTAGCGCTTAAACCAGTGTGAAAGTTCAAAACAAAATCAATAATTCACTTTTATAGATCAGTGTTTTCACAGCTCTCGTGTCCTGTTTCCTTTTTCAAACATTTATTTTCTGTATCATAAAAACATCATAAAAAAAACTTTACAGTTTTAGATTTTGAGTGTTTTCTCTCTCCCTCCGCACAGAGAGCGAGGGCGTCATTAGGAGGCACATGTCAGACCTATTGTGAGCACCTGGAGGAAACCTACGCAGTAACAGGGAGAGGAATCAAACCCAGCCACAGCAGTCGACTCTGATCACTTTACAAAGTTGTTGATTCTCCAGCACAGATCAGAGAATCAAACTGTTCAAACAGTACAAATAAAGACTCATGAAGTCATTGGTCCAAAGAGAACGGGACGTTAATACATGTTTAATACATGTTTAATACATGTTAATACATGTTTAATACATGTTTAATACATGTTTAATACATGTTTAATACATGTTAATACATGTTTAATACATGTTGATACATGTTTAATACATGTTAATACATGTTTAATACATGTTTAATACATGTTTAATACATGTTAATACATGTTTAATACATGTTAATACATGTTGATACATGTTTAATACATGTTAATACATGTTTAATACATGTTAATACATGTTGATACATGTTTAATACATGTTAATACATGTTTAATACATGTTTAATACATGTTGATACATGTTAAATACATGTTGATACATGTTTAATACATGTTGATACATGTTTAATACATGTTAATACATGTTAATACATGTTGATACATGTTGATACATGTTTAATACATGTTTAATACATGTTGATACATGTTTAATACATGTTGATAAATGTTTAATACATGTTAATACATGTTGATAAATGTTTAATACATGTTAATACGTGTTAATACATGTTGATACATGTTGATACATGTTTAATACATGTTAATACATGTTTAATACATGTTAATACGTGTTAATACATGTTGATACATGTTGATACATGTTTAATACATGTTAATACATGTTTAATACATGTTAATACATGTTGATAAATGTTTAATACATGTTAATACGTGTTAATACATGTTGATACATGTTTAATACATGTTGATACATGTTGATACATGTTGATACATGTTAAATACATGTTGATACATGTTTAATACATGTTTAATACATGTTAATACATGTTGATAAATGTTTAATACATGTTAATACGTGTTAATACATGTTGATACATGTTTAATACATGTTAATACATGTTGATACATGTTTAATACATGTTGATACATGTTTAATACATGTTAATACATGTTAATACGTGTTAATACATGTTTATAAATGCTTATAAATGTTAATACATGTTCATACGTGTTAATACATGTTAATACATGTTAATACGTGTTAATACGTGTTAATACATGTTTAATACATGTTCATAAATGTTTATAAATGTTAATAATGTTCATACATGTTCATACATGTTAATAAAGGTCCATACATGTCCCGGATCATCACAGACCCTCCTGCGTCCTTAGAAAAGGAAAATGTATTTATAAAGAACGATTCATACAGAAGCAACAGGGTTCTTTACAGGCACAGAACTGTGGGAAACATAGCAGCGGTGGTTCAGGCCTCGAGGGACTGGTAGATTCTAACCCGAACTCTAACCCTTGCCTTTGTGTGTGTTTGTTAGATCCCGTGTCCAGATGTCTCTCCTGACCCACCTGCTGGCCGTCCTGTTCGGGATGGGCTCCTGGGTCTCCATCAACGGCCTCTGGGTGGAGCTGCCTCTGCTGGTCCCTCAGATCCCAGAGGGCTGGTTCCTCCCCTCGTACCTCTCGGTCCTCATCCAAATGGCCAACGTGGGACCACTCTTTGTGACCCTCATGCACCGCTTCTACCCTGGAAAACTCAGCGAGACAATGGTCATATACGTCATCATCGCGCTGGGAACAGTGGCGAGCGTTCTACTTGGATTTTTTTGGAAAGAGACCGTGGTTGTGGCGGGGTTGCATCGAAGCGTGGCCTTGCTGGTCCTGACCTTTTTCTTAGCAGCTGTGGACTGCACCTCGTCCGTCACCTTCCTACCCTTCATGATGCAGCTGAAGCCAGAATATTTGACCACTTACTACATCGGGGAGGGCGTGAGCGGGCTGCTTCCTGCTCTGGTCGCTTTAGTCCAAGGCGTCGGGGTCGTCCATTGCATAAACAGCAGCAGTATTTCAAACTTAACATCTAATGCGTCTTCCTTCGAACTCCAAGCCAGATACCAACCTGCAAACTTCTCCGCTGAGGTGTTTTTCTTCTTCCTAAGCGCCATGATGATCGTCTGTCTTGCGGCGTTTATTCTACTGAACTACCATCCGGCGGTGGCGAGAGAGATCCCCAACAGACGCTACAAAAACGGAGTCAAAGCCAAGAGCAGCAGCTGTGCGGAGCAGAGGATGATGCTGGACCTGTACCGGAGCCACACCCGGAGGAGTGGCTTTGGCTCCGGGTCCTACAGCGTGGCGCAGGTGGTCTACATCTTTGTGGTCCTGGCCTGGGCTAACGCTCTGACCAACGTGGTGCTCCCCTCGGTGCAGTCGTATTCCTGCCTGCCGTACGGGAACAACATCTACCACCTGTCTGCGACCATGGCCGCCGTGTCCAACCCCCTGGCCTGCTTCATCGCCATGTTCCTGCCCATACGGTACAGCGCTCGCAGCTGAAGGCCTTACGTTGCTTTAGGTTCACTGGTTTTGCATACAGGGTAAACCTTCACAGCCATCTGGTGGGACTGGATATGGAAGTTTCTTAGATTGTTATTTATTTATTTATTTGCTTCAGTTTTTTTTCATGGTAGTGCATTAAAATACCACAATAATCCAGAAAGTACAACAGTAATACAGTCCATGAAAAAAAAAAATACTATGTTATTAATATTCATTGATAATTGAAATACAATTAGAAAATCACTATTCATTATTTAAAATGCGTATTGCAGTCTATAATGTTTCCACACACATTTAATATTAATCTTGCTCATTGAATTAGAATTTGGCTGAATGGGATGAAGATCATTAAATTAATCCCACGCCATAAACAACATCTGTTTTTAAATAACATGTATCATAAACAGTTCATAAACTTTACAGATAGAATTGCACTTGAGTTTTCTGAAGTTTCACATTTACAGACGTTGATATTGTAGCAGAGAATATAACTATAATAAACAATAGTCATATCAGCAGCAGGTAAAGAGGAGGACCAGTCTCTCAGTGTCTTCCTGGTCTTTTGTCCTTTTGCAGTGGAATAATGTGCAATTTAAATAATCCAAATTACATTATGAATTACGCATTAGTTAAAATGTGTTACTGATAAAAACAGATAATTTAGCAAATGTCTCTAGTTAAAGATCCACTTTCACCTCCGAACCCAGATCTATAGTTTCCATGTTACCACCACTAGAGGGAGCCAGACACTGGTGATGCTGCTATAGATCTATACTAACGTGGCTGTATACCATGTGTCCCTCAGGTCTCTGGTACTAACGTGACTGTATACCATGTGTTCCTCAGGTCTCTGGTACTAACGTGACTGTATACCATGTGTTCCTCAGGTCTCTGGTACTAACGTGACTGTATACCATGTGTTCCTCAGGTCCCTGGTACTAACGTGGCTGTATACCATGTGTCCCTGAGGTCTCTGGTACTAACGTGGCTGTATACCATGTGTCCCTCAGGTCCCTGGCACTAACGTGGCTGTATACCATGTGTCCCTGAGGTCTCTGGTACTAACGTGGCTGTATACCATGTGTCCCTCAGGTCCCTGGCACTAACGTGGCTGTATACCATGTGTCCCTGAGGTCTCTGGTACTAACGTGGCTGTATACCATGTGTCCCTCAGGTCCCTGGTACTAACGTCACTGTATACCATGTGTCCCTCAGGTCCCTGGTACTAACGTGGCTGTATACCATGTGTCCCTCAGGTCTCTGGTACTAACGTGGCTGTATACCATGTGTCCCTCAGGTCCCTGGCACTAACGTGGCTGTATACCATGTGTCCCTCAGGTCCCTGGTACTAACGTGACTGTATACCATGTGTCCCTCAGGTCCCTGGTACTAACGTGGCTGTTTACCATGTGTTCCTCAGGTCCCTGGTACTAACGTGGCTGTATACCATGTGTTCCTCAGGTCCCTGGTACTAACGTGGCTGTATACCATGTGTCCCTGAGGTCTCTGGTACTAACGTGGCTGTATACCATGTGTTCCTCAGGTCCCTGGTACTAACGTGGCTGTATACCATGTGTCCCTGAGGTCTCTGGTACTAACGTGGCTGTATACCATGTGTTCCTCAGGTCCCTGCTACTAACGTGGCTGTATACCATGTGTCCCTGAGGTCTCTGGTACTAACGTGACTGTATACCATGTGTCCCTCAGGTCCCTGGTACTAACGTGGCTTTATACCATGTGTCCCTCAGGTCCCTGGTACTAACGTGGCGGTATACCATGTGTCCCTCAGGACCCTGGTACCAACGTGGCTGTATACCATGTGTCCCTCAGGTCCCTGGTACTAACGTGACTGCATACCATGTGTCCCTCAGGTCCCTGGTACTAACGTGGCTGTATACCATGTGACCCTCAGGTCCCTGGTACTAACGTGGCTGTATACCATGTGTCCCTCAGGTCCCTGGTACTAACGTGGCTGCATACCATGTGTCCCTCAGGTCCCTGGTACTAACGTGGCGGTATACCATGTGTCCCTCAGGACCCTGGTACCAACGTGGCTGTATACCATGTGTCCCTCAGGTCCCTGGTACTAACGTGACTGCATACCATGTGTCCCTCAGGTCCCTGGTACTAACGTGGCTGTATACCATGTGTCCCTCAGGTCCCTGGTACTAACGTGGCTGTATACCATGTGTCCCTCAGGTCCCTGGTACTAACGTGGCTGTATACCATGTGTCCCTCAGGTCCCTGGTACTAACGTGACTGTATACCATATCTCCCTCAGGTCCCTGGTACTAACGTGGCTGTATACCATGTGTCCCTCAGGTCCCTGGTACTAACACTAACGTGGCTGTATACCATGTGTCCCTCAGGTCCCTGGTCCTAACGTGGCTGTATACCATGTGTCCCTCAGGTCCCTGGTACGAACGTGGCTGTATACCATGTGTCCCTCAGGTCCCTGGTACTAACGTGGCTGTATACCATGTGTCTCTCAGGTCCCTGGTACTAACGTGGCTGTGTACCATGTGTCCTCAGGTCCCTGGTACGAACGTGGCTGTATACCATGTGTCCCTCAGGTCCCTGGTACTAACGTGGCTGTGTACCATGTGTCCTCAGGTCCCTGGTGCTGATGGGGGCCCTCACCGTGGTGGGCAGTGCCGTGGGGGCCTTCATCATGTGGATGGCGGTGCTCAGTCCTTGTCCGCTGCTGGTTCATGGTGTTTGGGGCGGAGTCTTGATGGTGAGGAACCATGTGGGATTTGAGGTTTTATTTTTCATGTGAGAGATTGTCACAACTCCTGATGTACATTTATGGACATTAGTCTCTGCCTCAAACGGACCAAAGGCTGTATGTGTGTTTAAACTGGTTGATTCTCTGATCTGTGTTGGCGAATCGACAACTTTGAAATTATGATAATAGTTTTTAACAGACTACACCACAGACTGACACACACTCCAGACTATACTCCAGACTATACTCCAGATTATACTCCAGACTATACTCCAGACTATACCACAGATTATACTCCAGATTATACTCCAGATTATACTCCAGACTATACTCCAGACTATACTCCAGACTATACTCCAGATTATACTCCAGACTATACGCCAGATTATACTCCAGACTATACTACAGATTATACTCCAGACTATACTCCAGATTATACTCCATATTATACTCCAGACTATACTCCAGACTATACTCCAGACTATACCACAGATTATACTCCAGACTATACTCCAGATTATACTCCAGACTATACTCCAGACTATACTCCAGACTATACTCCAGATTATACTCCAGACTATACTCCAGATTATACTCCAGACTATACTCCAGACTATACTCCAGACTATACTCCAGACTATACTCCAGATTATACTCCATATTATACTCCAGACTATACTCCAGATTATACTCCAGAATATACTCCAGAATATACTCCAGATTATACTCCAGACTATACTCCAGATTATACTCCAGATTATACTCCAGACTATACTCCGTATGTGTGTTTTTCATTGCATTTCCTGTGTTTAAACTGGTCGATTCTCTAATTTGCGTTGACGAATCGACAACTTTGAAATGATGATAATAGTTGTTGACAGCAGAATGTGGGAGGATCTCAGGACAGTGGTGATAATCCAGGACATGGACATTGGTCTCTGCTGATTATGGATCAAAGTGTTTTAATCATTTCCTGTGTTTGAAAAGAACAAATAAAAACATTTAATCCAGATTATATTTAATCTCAGTTTGTGCGTTCGCAGGTGGGGGCCTGGGTGGTGTTCGTGCTCGCACTGTCCTACGTGAAAGTGATGGTGGGTGTGATACTGCGTGACGAGGGCCACAGCGCCCTGGTGTGGTGTGGGGCGGTGGTGCAGCTCGGATCTCTGCTCGGAGCCGTCACTATGTTTCCTGTGGTCAGCATCTTCAGCTTCTTCTCTTCGGGAGACCCCTGCAACACCCACTGCCCCTAGATTATCACAGATTATCCAAGACTATAACACAGATTATCTCCGATTATAACACAGATTACAACAGACTATACTCCAGGACCAGACTATAACACATTTATCACAGACTATAACACGGATTACTACAGACTATAACCCAGATTATCTCAGACTATACTACAGGACCAGACAATAACACAGATTACTACAGACTAAAACACATATTATCTCAGACTATAACACAGATTACAACAGACTATACTCCGGGCCCAGACTATACCACAGACTATACTCCAGGCCCAGACTATAATCCAGACTATACCCCAGACTATAATCCAGACTAGACTATAATCCAGACCCAGACTATACTCCAGACCCAGACTATACCACAGACTATAATCCAGACTATAATCCAGACTACAGTCCAGACTACAGTCCAGGCCCAGACTATACTCCAGACCCAGACCATTAATCCAGACTATAGTCCAGGCCCAGACTATACTCCAGACTATAATCCAGACTATACCACAGACTATAATCTAGAATATACCACAGACTATAATCCAGACTATAATCTAGACTATACCACAGACTATAATCCAGACACGTCTCACAAAAGCCTTGTTTTTCTGGAACTGTGCAATACTCAAGAAAAGAGACTTTTCCATTTTGTGACTGATGTTTTTGGAGCAGAAACTGCACAAACCTCTGACCCACAGACTTTATAATCCCACTGGATTATTGACTCAGATCTCACTGGAAACCCATGTCTATTTGTTTCTTTTTGAATTTGTATGAGTTAAACATGTTTAAAGTTAAAATATCCACTTTTATAAGGTCCACCATCATGACACACACACACACACACACGCACACACACACACACACACGCACGCACACACACACACACGCACGCACTCGTATGCGCACACACACACATACACACGCACGCACGCACGCACCTACACACACACACATACACGCACACACATACAGACGCACACACGCACACACACACACACGCACATACACACGCACACACACACACACACACACACAGAGTTTAAAGCCGTATTGTGAAACATCCAATTCACAAAGTTGTTGATAATCAGAAAATCCAAATATTGACGTCTCCAGGATCCAGAGAAACAGAAAGTTGTGTCACATGTTGTTTTATGTTTCACTTTTAGTTTCTGCTGCTTTTTTATTATGTGTATCTTCTTTTGTGAGTTGTATAGAATTTTGTACATATGTGTTGTAATAAAAATATTCCTCTTGTTGGATCAAATAATCTTCACAGAACAGAACAAAGAACCAAGAATGAAACTTTAAGACCTGGACTTGGTTTTTTGGTTTTTATTAAACCTTCTCACACTGACATCAAAGTCCCACAAACACAACTTAACAAACAATGAACCAAAATCATGAAAATAACGACCAAAAAGAAAGTTACATGGAAATTGTTATCAAGGTCTTTTCTTTGAATGAGGTAGAGAAGCCTGAGTCCTGCAATCACACATTTGTCACACAGAACAGAATTATCACACAGTTAAAGCTCCAAACCTGCAAAAATAAGTATGTCATCAATTCCAAATAACGAGGTATTTCAAACTGATAACATCCATCCATTTTCTTCCCCTTAATCCATGTCTGGGTCAGGGGGGTGGCAGTCAGAGCTGCACCCAGTCCACAGAGCACCAGCCCCTCACTGATCCTCCTGCAGGTGCTGAGTCCACAGGAGCTGAGATCTTTCAGTGGGGGCTTTGGGCAAAGTGGGGTTAAGTGTCTTGCCCAAGGACACAACGACAGCAGTCATCAGTGGGAGTCGTGAAGTAGGTCTTACGGTGGGCTTGAACCCACGACCTTCAGGCTCAAAGGCCAATGCTCTACCAACTGAGCAGCTGTCGCCCTCAAACTGATAACAACACAACTTTAATATAATTTTTAACATCTCATAAATTATATTAAATTTATCAAAACATTACCTAAAAACGACAACAACAACAATAAAATAATCATCTCCTGTGTGTATAGCGCCCCCTGCTGGTTGTGTAGTCTCACTGGTCATATGTTACGGTAACTTCAGTGTAAACATATTTAACTAAACACAGTATTCCAAAGACTGAGGATAACACCCAAAAATCGCTTACTGCTGCTTTAATATTTCTTCTAAGCCTGGTGGCCCATTAATGGCAAAATAAATGTATTGTGTTGATTGAAAACAAAATGATGCGACCCAGAATGCATTGTAGAGCAAAATATAAACTTCTTAAACATTCTACATTTGATTTTGAGAGTGAATATGAAGCAAGTCCTAAAGCAAAATACTTGAGCAACATTCTGATTAAACTAATTTGATCAAATAAGTAATGGTCTTTATTTTTACCAACCGTGATCGACAGGGCCAAGCCAAACTACCCCTATACTCCCTGGGTTTTATTTAGATACTACTAAATGGTCAATATGCTAACTTAAAACCGATCTCTGATAGAGTTGTAAGCCCTATTACATCTCAGCATGAGTGTTTCAAACTTCAGGATCTTACAATATAATGATTACAAGATTTAACAAACTTCCTCCAGGAGGGGGAGAGTTACACTTTAAACGAACACAAAAGCATTGAGTAAATTCTTCATCTCCAAGTTAGTTTTGCTCCGAAGTTAATAGTACTCAAAAAGGCCGTTGCAACCTATTTATTTTGTTTCTGATTAAAGCAACACTTTTTACAGTGTACTTTAAGTCTCTCACTTTTAATGGTGGGTTATTTTAATTTATTTGTTTGGAGGATAAGCCCCTAGAGATGAAACATCTCGCTTTCGAGGGGGTCCTTTTTTGACCCGAGAGTAGCACTAGACCAGTAATGGGACAGGGGAACATGTGATTCCATTATCTCATAATTCAAAAAAAAAGATAAAGTTAAAATTCACAAAAGTAGACAAAAATAGTAAATAGTAAAAACGATTTTAGGGACACTATACACTGAAATATATTATAAGATACAATAAGATGAGATGAGAGATCCTTTATTCGTCCTACAGTGGGGAAAATTCAGTGTTGCAGCGCACATACAGGGCAGTAGTAACACACAAACACACACAGGGAACACACAAAATATACAATATAAGCAGCGGCTATGTTTCTTAGCCAGCTGTAAATGCTTCAATATCAATCTTATGAAATATCTCTGTAAATATAGTGCAAATTTATATATAAGCTTTATAGTGTTAGTCTATAGTCCGTGTGGCTTCGACATGTGTCCATTTATCACAAGTACACATGAGACGCATATTTTTTCATATTTCCTTTCATATTCTCTTTTCAGGACTTCATCCGTGAGTTGGTGGGGAAGTTGGACGGCATGCACAAAGAGGAGGAACTGCAGACTTCTGGCATCGAGCATCCGGTCATCTCCCACAGCCACTACCGCCACGAGCCGTACCACTTCAACCAAGACCAGCAGCAGCAGCAGCCCACACGGGGCCCCCACAAGACCCTCTAGTCCCGCTCAGTCGCCATTTAACATGTATTTAGTGTAGGCTTCATATGCAAATAGATGTCTCCTGATGTATTAGAGTATGAATATGAATCATTCTCTGCTCAAAGAAAGCTCAATTCACTCACTGCTGTTAACACATTAGCCATTAATATGTAGCCAGAAACATATCTCCAAGTAATATTAAAGCAGGGTTATCTTACTTTCAAGAGTGAGTTTGACGCGCACATCCAAGTCTGAGTAGTGTGCAAAAAAGAAGTTGAAAATAGTACAGTGAGTTCTTTTGGTGATAATTAAAATCTCTTGGGAGCAAAAGCTGTGCAGAGTCATCTCCATTTGTTCTCCGTATTTTCTCACTTTCAAATCACAAAAGAACAACTCTTTATTATGATCTATTTGACCAGTTCCTGGCTCTAAAACGGTAATATGACTAGTTTTCACATCCATCTATCCATTTTCTTCCCCTTAATCCATTTCTGGGTCAGCGGGTGGCAGTCAGAGCTGCACCCAGTACACAGAGCACCAGCCCCTCACTGATCCTCCTGCAGGTGGTGAGTCCACAGGAGCTGAGATCTTTCAGCGGGGGCTTCAGGCAAAGTGGGGTTAAGTGTCTTGCCCAAGGACACAACGACAGCAGACAGTGGGATTCGTGAAGTAGGTCTCGTTGTGGGCTCGAACCCATCACCTTCAGGTTCAAAGGCCAATACTCTACCACTGTCCCCCTTGTCAAATAATTCACATCCTTTTCTCATAATTTTTCTGGCCCAAATCCCTGTTATTTTAGAGTTTCTGCCACTGCTGATCCTCATCTGACTGAGTTAGACCCACTGCAGCTCTCATCTCGATTGAACTTTTATCTAGATCAGCTTGTTCAGCCACCCACACTCAGCCAATCAGCTCTCAGCCTGCAAAAGTATGCAAAAAAATGTTCCAAATAAGATGAAGACAGGTCGGATTAGTTGAGACTAACAACATGTATTATTTATGCAAATAAAGTTAGCCACCCCAGCTTTAAAGTCTGTTGTAAACGGTAATTGTCGTGTTATTTACCAATAAAATAGAACTTTCTTATTGATCTCTGTATATTTTCATGCAACAAATATCACTAAAGCCTAAAACAGTTTGTGAGTTGCCTATCCTGACTTGTGTCTGAGGTTATACAGGTTGTACAGAACAGGTAAATCGGCTGAAACTCTACTTAGTGCGGCTGGCATGAAGTCTAAAAAGTAAAATAACCCTCAGTGACAGATCAAACATGTGTCTGTGCTGCTGACGACGCACAAGAATGCATTTGGAAAGACAACATTAGTTCAACCATGTCTCTGTGTGCAATTATGTATTTTAACAATTATTATCGATCGACAATACCAGTGAGTAATGAGTTATTTTTTTAATGTATTCTTCAAACAGTGGGTTTGTATCTAAAATCATCCCTTCCTTGACTGCCTGAACACAGGGGGGCAGTGCAAGACCATTTCCGATCTCCTGATAGCTGCCCCTGCCCTGGACAGTGGATGCACATCCCTGTCATGATGATTGTGCTGTACATGTGCTTTATGTGACATCACATTCCTGCCCTGACTACACTGGCCTTGAGCATGTAATAAAGCTATAGCACCAATAGACCAGTTCTGTCCACTTAAAGACTTCCTCTGAAGACAGACGCCTCATGAAACAGGACTGGTATTTGGACTCAAGGCCATTGGCTCCTCTCCAGTCTGCATGTTGTACTGATAAAGACAATAAAAGTAATATAAAAGATTCATGCATGTGTCAGGGACGGCTCAAAGACTTGGTCACACAGGTCATCCAGTGTGTTCATCAATGTACAGTTCATATGTTGTAATCAGCCAGGTCTCTGGGGGAGGAGGCACAGGGAGCAGGACGGGCCTTTCCTCAGGAAAACATATCACCTTCCACCACAATAGAGCGCATCAGGAAACACAGTGAGTGTTCTCTGGAGCTGCACTCAGAGCCGCAGAGGCAGTGGTCAGGGGCACACCAGGTCCACTACCCGCAGCACACAGAGGACACTGCACCATGAGCCAGAGCTGAGGGCAGCACAGACACAGGTATGACCCGCCTCTGGACACACACGGTCCACATCAGCCACACTCTACTTTAGAACTTAGAGATGGTCAAGTGTTCTCTCATATGTTTTCTTCTTTATTTTAAAGTCTTGATTCACTTCTTGATTGTACTTTCATGCATTACCCATGTGGACTTTATTTATAGAAATGCTCAGTAATATTTGCTTTAGTTATATTTGTACTTTACTTCTATGTTTAGAAAAAAACGTTTTTAGGCTCAGGTTATTTTTTCCAATTAATGCATGGATCAAAGTTCACATTTTCCTTTTTATTGATATAGGTCTCAATGGTGACAAGTCTACAAATTATCAATTTATAAGGAAATCAAAGCAAATTACGCATACACAATGGTTCACAGTCCAGTGTTAGGGACAAATGTATTTTCTGTAACAAAAGAGAAAGTCGCGTAGAAAAAAGGTAAGCATTTACTTTAAACTGACTGACTGACTGACTTACTTACTTACTTACTTACTTAAACTGACAGAAAAAAACAATCAAATATTTAGCTCCACTGCATTTAAGAAACCTTTTTTTCTCCACTGTTGGACAAATACATTTTTGTTGTGCATCACTGTAAATATGACAATCAGGTCATTTACATAAATATATGATCTTAAATATATGAAAGTATTTATATACCGCCTTTCACAGACAAGAGTCACAAAGCGGTTTACAATTGTTATTATTTTTTTGGGCACTTGTCCTCTCACTCCAGACAGAGATGGGAGTGGGGTCGCCGTACATATTTTTAGTGGTAGGGGAAACCAGAGTACCCGGAGGAAACCTACGCAGACACGGGGAGAACATGCAAACTCCACTCAGAAAGGCCCTGGTCCGACCGGGATTTGAACCCAGGACCTTCTTGCTGAGAGGCGAGAGTGCTATCCACTCAGCCACCGTGCCATGAAAATGACAAACAAACAGCCGTAAAAGTACGCAGCACAGAAAATCATCTATCTATAATTGCGTGCGCTAAAATGCCCCTTTTCCAGTATAAATGGACGTCCCTTCGCTTAACGCTTTGACCCTCCTGTTGTTATTCTGTCCGTGACTTTTGACTCTCCGCTCGAGTTGTTTGTTTTTTCTTTGTACAATATTTATGAAAGGTTGCAGTTGGGCACGTGTAACTGGGCCAATATTTTGAATAGTTGTTTCCTATTTGCGTGAAGTATGTTACATAAGCGCAGAGGGAAAGGATGTTTTGATCTGACTTGTATAAACTAACTGACAGCTCATGTAAACACTTTTTCACTTTTATAATTTACAGCACTAAGTTACAATATACAACACAACAAAAAAACCAACATCTTTCTCTGGTATTGTTCAAATCCAGGTTAAAAATCATTCTGTTTAGCTGTGTATACAACTGATGGATTTTATCTACACTCTTTTCAATGTAATGTGATTATTAATGATTTTAATGCCTTGTTGTTTCTATCTTATTTTGTGAAGCATTTTGACTTGTCTTGTCTATGAACTGGGCCATACAAATAAACTTGTCTCTCTGTTCCAGATTGTTGAAATAGTCTTTGCAAGCATGCCCATTCTGAAGAAGCTCCCTGGGAGGTCCAAGAGCTGCCACGAATTTCCCAGAGTGAACGGAGAGCTGATCCTGCCCACGCTGGACTTGGACTGGAGAGACCTGAACGATCTCAACGACCTGAAAGACCTCAACAAGAACTTGAACCCTTTTGAAGACGTCGATTTGGACGAAGACGACAAAATCGCAGACATGGGCCTCATCATGGGGGAGCAGCAGTTCAAAAGCAGGCATGAGGGCGAGGAGGGGGAGAACCAGGTGAACTCTGGGTATGGAGCAGGGACCCCCAAGACCAGGCCTCTGAGGGGGACGCTGGAGAGGATCTGTGGGGTGTCTCCGCTCAAGACACTGGGGAAATTAGGGAAGGGGCTGCGGATATCAGGGCGCAACGTGTGGAGCAGCAATACGGCCCAATATAGCCCAGGAGATTCCAACAGTCTGCCCATGGAGAGGGAGAAGAAGAAGGGGGTGCGCAGAAGCTCGGAGGGGAAGATCATGACACTGCTACGGTGAGGACATGACTGTTAGAATAAAAGAAAAATACTCGTACGATGACAGTCATGATGAGCGGATGAAGTTACAGGCTAAACAAAAAGAATGTATAAAAGAATGTAAGCTTGATGTCCATGGCCAGTCTAATTCAGAGTTTAGGAAAAGTGGCCTAATGGATATGTTTTCAGCCTCCCAAGCTATGGGCATTGTGAGTTTGAGTCCCACTTGGGTCGAGTGCGAAGAGTGTGGGACAAACTGTTATTGTAAATTTTTTCCATTATGAGATCAGTAAAGTGTATTGTATCTTAACAACAACATTTTACACAAACTATCCAAGGGTAAATGTGGCCCTCACATTTTAACCATCTTCATAGGGCCCAAGCCTCTTTCTGAATTGGAATTAGTTGGTAACTTTGTATATGCAACGATGATGCTTTTATAGCTCAAATCAAACAATGTGATGTGACACAGACCAAGCCTTCACATTTTAAGACATCATAAAAAGTGCCTTTCTGTGCCCAGGGCTTTTCTCTCAGTCTCATGAAAGAAAGAAAAGTTTGTACAGCCCAAATGTCTGTTCCACAATGTGTCTACAGGAATGCAAATATGTTTATGTCCTTATACTTTACCAATATATTGCACTTATGTAATGCACTATAGCCACTTGTTTTTCTTTGGGACAGCTTTTGTTGCTTGGGGCTTGATTTGCAGCGGCTATTTTTATAAGGCAGCCGTGGTGGTTAGCTGCTGCATTGCTTTGGCAGATGTTACAATGTGACATTCCATACATTCCAATAATCAGTGCACTATTTGGATTTTCTTTAATGCATTGTCTTAATTGTATTTCCAAGTGTAAGCTATGTTATTTTCTGCTGCCCAGGTTTACAGGCCGGCGCAGAGAGGAGCGCAGAGAAAGCCTGCCCTGTGGGGACCTGAGCATTAACACCGAGGCGGAGGCGTGCAGGCGGCCATCCTTCCTCAGGATAGTCAGTCTGGGCAAGTTGAAGAGAGAATCCATGTCAGACAAGGGCTCTCAGGAGGGCTCTGAGGAAACGGTGGAGGAGGAGCCAATGGTTAAAACTAGAGATCCCCTGTCAGGTAATAAACAATATTTTTCCATACCAAACGTGTTGCAAAAATCCAAAGTATTTATTGCTCTATAGGAAACATACTTGTTTTGCCTAATCAAGGCTTCCTCCTGCTCCTAGACAACTCTAATGGGACTAAGATCCCCAGATCCCTGAGTCACTGGGTTCAATCACCACCAGGCTGTGAAATCAGGAAATGACTGCACTTCCTCCCACCCAGGTTCCCCAAGATAGATTTTGAACCAACTTACTGTTTAAAGTCATTGCAGGGACTCAGCTACATTTATACAACACAAGTGTGCAACTGCAGTAAGAAATAGCTATTTTTGTCCGGCAGACAGATGCCCCATTGTAATGATCATAGAAAAGGTTCTTTGTAATCTCCAGCAGCTCATTATGTGCTTTGTCACTTTCAGTCCTGGAGATTTTACAGTTGGTCAACCACCGAGACTTGCTCCTGGCTGACACGCACATGCAAGAGCTTGAACGGGAGTGTGAGCTCTTATCTCAGCTGCCTGCATCCAGCAGTCCAACTCTTACACCCACTACATGCCCCAGCACTCCGCCTGGCCTCTTTCCATTATCAGCCCAATCTCTGGAGGAATCCCTCAGCTCCAATGCCACACTGGACTCCAGCCTGCGTAAAGCTAAAGATGTGGAGCTGCTTTATGAAGCTCTCCAGAAGGAGATGTGGGACGTAGTCCGAGAATCCCTCCGACAGCCCAGTGCTGGCCCCAACCTTGGCCTTGTGGTACTGGTGATACAACAAGAAGAGCATGCTGATGCCGCCTGGGCCTTCAGAGAAGACACCAAACCAGAGAGAGAGTGTTTCCAGTCACAGCCGAGCCATCGGCCGAGGCGCTTCAAGATGAAGTGGAGACAGGCAGTGGCAGAGGCGGCCGACTGGAGCCTGCCCGTCCAGGTGGACACCCAGGCCGGGAATCTGGCCAACTACCTGGACCGCCTTCGCAGCCGAATGGTGGATGACTTGGACGCAGCCAGGAGGAACGCTGTTGGTATTTATCCAGAGGAATTTTCAGCCTTCCAAGTGTATGTGGAGAGTTACCACAAAGCAGTTGCCAAACGCTTGCGCACCATCACCAGTGGACCCCTGCAGATCACAGATGTTTACTCGCTGCTAGATTGGTTCTACAACATCTACAACAGGTGCTTAACTTAAAATAATCACTGAAAGTGGTTCATAATGCCCTAAACCAGTGTGTAATATAACAATTTGACCTGTTTTGAACAGAGATGTTTTAGGATGCATTGGTTCAAAAACACCCATCAACTATTCTTCACTAGAAGCCATTCTTGCTCAAGATAAAGTGGATCGGCTAGAACAAGACTGCCTCAACATAGTCAAGGTAAGTACAATAATGTGTGTTATTTGTGTAGAATTATTATATTTAATTGATGTGTTTTGGTCCTTTTGTCTTGTGTTACCCAAGGAAAATGTGACCACTGAACTGATCCACATTTTGGATGAAGAAGAGAGAAGATGGGCCCAGACTCTGCACATAGAGGAGTATCAGTGCCAGCTGGCTCGAACTGTCATACAGGTAATGACTGAGATTTGCATTTAATATTGTACAGTGTATAACCAGCTCTCTAATCCATATTTCAGAGGTTAAAGGTAGACCTAGACCGATCCACATCAGTGAATCAGTTTTTGGGAGCAAGAGTTGCTCGTTGTAGTCTGATTGGATTGTCCGACTTTCTCTATAAGTAAGTAAAAGTTACCTAAAAGTTACTTATTAATAAGTATCAAAATGATTTCACGTGAAAATTGTGATTCTTAGAAGTTTGTCATGACATTACAGAGCACATACAATGAGGCATAGCAGTAGAAATATATAACACTAAAACTGTTCTCTTAGCTGAAATATTAAGTTAAAATGACTAAATATGTTCTGATTTAGAACATATTCGAGTTGTCTCAGAGCACTGTCCAACATACTGTAGCCTTTAGCAGAAACAGTTACAACCCGGTAAAAGTAAATGGTGTTCTCATATTTTGCATGATTAGTTTTCAGAGGAAGGTTGAGATGTTTCACGATGCACAGGCTGAGTTTGGCGACAGAGGAGATGGATATGTCTCCAGGACTATTGCTCTGGTGAACTGCTGCCCTCCTCTAAGGTACTGCTTTTCTCTTACCTTTGTGTATTTCTTAAAAGTGAGTTATCGTTACCAAAGCATTCTAAAAGGTTTTCACTATCTCTGTAGGTCCTTTGTTGAGCGCTGCAGGCAGTGTGACGCTCAGGCCAGCGAGGACACGGCTCAGAGAGCTAACTCCTCGATGGACAGGATCATCAACCAATCAGTGAGGGTCCTCACCGACAGGCTGTTTGAGAGCATCAGGGTATGACACAATACTGACTTCTGACTGCTGCTATGGTCAAACTGTGTCCTTGATGTCCTCATGTCTGCTCATTCACAGCCTTTCTTTGAAAAGCTCATAAAGAGAAAGTGGTTAAACAACACAGAAGCATTTGAAGGCATTGTGGCCTGCATTAAACAGCACTTCAAAAAGTTCAAAAGGATGGACCCACCACCATATCAGGTAAACACTTTGTTACTGATGCTGACCAAAGACATTTTTTCAACCAAACTAATTATAGTCTAATTGAATGATCTGTTTGGCAGACGCTGGTTGGTGAGGTGCACCGGCGTGTGATGGTGGAGTATGTTCGAGCTATTATGAGAGGACGAGTCATCTGCACATCGTCCAAGATGAGAAAGAGGATGGCTTTCCGTGTGCAAGATGAGGCCAAACAGTTGAGAGGACTCTTTAGGGACTTGGTAAGTGCTCAGAATGATCTGTTTTTCATAATGTGCAGTTTGCAGTTGCTTATCAGGCTCACACTCTTGACACGGACTGGTTCCAGAAAAATGGCTGCTGTCACTGAGATGGAGATAGATGGATTGGACTTACGCTTGTATTTGCCCCGAAAGGGGAAGTGGGTGTTGAGAAGCCAGGCCTGACAGCATGGCATTTGCCCTCGTTCTACGCACAAGTTCAAACAAGTGTCCGTCACCTAGGCTGACAACAGGAAGTTTCTGTGTTCAGAAGGAACTTCCTGTTCCTGTCAGCTGGCCGGCTTTGATGTGCCTCTGAGCTGGCCTTGATGTCCTCTTTCACTGAGGAGGCGCTCAAGTGTCTGTGGAAACTGGCAACTTGGGAAAAAGGATATGGTTTTTATGGCCTTCTCAAAAAAGCTGTTATTTTGAGTGAATGCCAAGCCAAGAATTCAGTTTTTACTTCCCAGAAACAGGCACAGAAAAAAGTACAAGATCAGGTGTTACTTCAGGTTAGAGTCAATAATTTAACAAAAGCCAGGACTTTAGTAAAGATGTAAGTTCTTCCATTAAGGTGATTCGTCTCTGTAGGAGTCCACTGCTTCCTGGTTGGACGGCCTGCTCTGTCACCTGGCTGACGTCATTCTCCTGGATGACACACCATCCATTCAAGTGGAGGTAGCGGTGCTGGTGAAAGAGTTTCCAGATATAAGGTGAGACTTTTACAACACGCAAAAACTATTTTGAAATCTTTCAGCTGTAATCAGGATGTATCTATAAAAACACACAGTATAGAGTATACCCAAAGGCCCTATGTCCATTTATGCTTACTGCTACACATTGACGCTGCTATTTTTGGTACTGAGCCAAGCAAAAATGCATGTACGAAGTTTTCCTTTTTTCTGTTGTCACAATGGATCACAACAAGGAAAAGAAACCTGGAAACAAATGTACATTAACCTGACTATTTTTGGAGCACGCAGAGGTCATGTTTTGAGAATAGATGAGGCTGGAGGCCTCAGAGGGAGCTGTTTGTGTGAGGTTAATGCTCAGGTGACAGTTGGCAAACTACCGCCGTGACGTAGAACCCTCGATGGAGCAGACAGGAAGCTGCTGCCGAGTACTTCCTGTTCCTGCTACCCTGCTGGAGACAGACTGGTGCCACATTATGAATGGAAAGAGAAAGAAAATCATTATGTTGTGTATTAGAAAAGAAACTGCCGTACCTAGACTAATGACTCACTAGATTATTAGTCCCTGGGAGGTGGCCGAGTTAGTTTAGCGTATTCTGTAATCATTGGGTTTATGTCTGTCCCTTTTCTGCCCACAGGAAGAAGCATGTGTCAACACTGTTAAATGTTCGAGGTATGATGCGGCAGGCAGAGCGCCAGGAGATTCTCAACATTGTGAAAGACTTTGAGTGCAGCAGCAGCCTCCTGTCCCGGGACCATGCCCTATTCTCTGACATCCCCATCACTTCGGAAGTGCACTGCATCAGCCTGGGCCTGCTGCGTCTGGCCATGACAGTCACCAACTGGTTCTCTGAGCAGCGGATGAGGCGAAGTGCCCGTAGCACCAATGTTCGTAGCACCAGTGTTCGTAGCACCAGTGTCCGCAGCACCAGTGTCCGAAGCACTACCCAGGTCCACGAGGCCCACAACATGGAGGAAATAAACAGAGGCCATAGAGACGACTGAGAGTGTAACTGTGTCACACTCTGAAGAACTATGACACACAGATAGGAAACGTACATGCACCTTGACCGAAGAGCCGTCTGAACCACTTAATGTTACATGACATTAAAACTTGACCTCAGGTACTCTTTGTACTGTACTCACACTTGTTACCTATCACTGTAATGGCATATGAGCTGTATTGTGAACAATCCATTACATGTCTGATGCTCATATATTTAGACAAGTCATCTATGGTAGCGTTGCTGCTGCTGCTGCTGCTGCACATTGTATGTGTATATCAATGTGCATGTATGAGAATGAATGGAATGGAAAAGTAGGGTTGAACTGTCACTGTGAATGAAAAGGATCTGTTGCTGTAAACAATAAAAGCCCATTGACTGGGCCGATAATCCAGTTTGGTCTATCTTTGAGACAAAAATTAGTTTTTTGCGTTTAACACTGCTTTCTAAGTTTGGAGGTTGGCATTCTTTATCATGGGGTTGTCAGACAATGCCTCTAACATAAACAATGCCAAAGGACATATTGAAAATATTTTGAAGGTGTGACGCACGAGGGATGCTAGCAGGACATATACATCCAAACGTTATGCCAGGTTGTTTATCTTGAGGATATGCTGGCTTTGTTCACGAAAGGACCTTTTTACAATCTGTCGGCTCCAAAGACACACTGCATAGCTCTCCAACAAGAAGGGTCATAGCCCTAAGGCCAACAATGGGATGTTTTTTGGTAAATAAAGGTTTCCTGTTGTCCAAAGAGGTGGCAACGGATGCATTTATTGGAGCCAAGTTTACATTGTGTACAAGGAGGTAACTTCCTCTCTGCTCACTGCAAACATGCACTGGCAGAGCGTCTCCCAGTCCAGTGTATCCCAGTCCTGTGTCTCCCAGTCCTGTGTCTCCCAGTCCTGTGTCTCCCAGTCCTGTGTCTTCCAGTCCAGTGTCTCCCAGTCCTGTGTCTCCCAGTCCTGTGTCTCCCAGTCCAGTGTCTCCCAGTCCTGTGTCTCCCAGTCCTGTGTCTCCCAGTCCAGTGTCTCCCAGTCCAGTGTCTCCCAGTCCAGTGTCTTCCAGTCCAGTGTCTCCCAGTCCTGTGTCTCCCAGTCCAGTGTCTCCCAGGCCTGTGTCTGCCAGTCCTGGGTCTCCCAGTGCAGTGTCTCCCAGTCCAGTGTCTCCCCGTCCTGTGTCTCCCAGTCCAGTGTCTCCCAGTCCAGTGTCTCCCAGTCCTCTGTCTCCCAGTCCTGTGTCTCCCAGTCCAGTGTCTCCCAGTCCAGTGTGTTCCAGTCCTGTGTCTCCCAGTCCAGTGTGTTCCAGTCCAGTGTCTCCCAGTCCTGTGTCTCCCAGTCCAGTGTCTGCCAGTCCAGTGTCTCCCAGTCCAGTGCATTTCAAGCATGAGCTGCTATTTGGGGCTCGAAGTGGACCCGATCTGCACAGGGGGTAAAGTTGTTTTGTTAAGTTAAGGTTTATATGAGGTCCCCACACAGTTACATTTTCAATTCAATTCAATGTATTCTTGTATAGCCCTGAATCACAACACTAATTATTACAGAGGACTTAACAAAATCTTTAGATTCGCCAACACAGATCAGAGAATTAAACAGGTCAAACACAATGCAGTGATAAAAACACATAGAGCCATTGTTCCATAAGGGGCAGATGACCGATGTCCAAGAATGTTGATGAATGTCCATGAATGTTACACACAGATACAGATTAGTCAGAATTTGTCATCAGCAGGCGATCTTTGATCATCGGTCTCGTCTGGAAGTCTTATTAACTCATGGTGCCACACAGTCTGCACAGGACAATCACGACACAAATGTGACTTCAGTGTGTTCTAGGATCAAGACACTACAAGAAACGTACCGCCATATAAACATGTCATGTCAATAGACTATTCTAGATACAAGTGAAACTCAGAAAATTAGAACTACTTCTGTCAATCAACTTACAATGAGAAACTAATATATGACACTTATTATGATTATTGCTTTTATATTGATAATTATTGGATCACAGCTTGTAAATACCCCAAATGAAATATCTCAGAAAAACTTAGTATTGTTGAGGACTGTAATAATATGACTGCATAATCATCAACATCATAATTTACAAAGTGCATGTAATTAGTCTATAACCGATATTGGTTTAACTTTTTAAATTGATTAAATTTTAATGATATTCTAATTTTCCGAGTTTCACTTCTAGACCTTTAGTGCCGTATGCCTTTTCATAAATACCTCTAGTCAAAACCCCATTTACAGTAGATTATGAAAAAGATTTTCTTCACTGAAACATTAAAATAACATTCTAAGAGAGATTTTAAGAGATCGTTTTGTTTGTTTGGTTAAAGAAATGTACAGCCGATCTGTCCGAGTAAAATATGTGCTATTACTATCATAAGTAACTAGAATGATGTATTTATTTATGTTTGTATGAATGGATGTGTTTTCTGGACACCTGAATACGGGGTTCCATAAAGCATCTATCTGTCTAAATAAATGAAATATTGTGAACCCCATTTGAAAACAAAACAGCATGTGCCACGTGTACAGAAGTCTATCTAAAATAAACTTTCGAACTTCCTGTAATATACCTCGAAGCTGTTTACCTGTTTTCACAATAGGAAACACATACCAGGGACCCTAGCCTACCCTTTGCACTTTAATTTTTTGTAAATAGTGATTTCCATGAATCCAGAAAAACAGGATGATGGTCTCAGTCTGAGTCACACTTTGACCAGATCTCTTCCTGGTGCTGTGCTGGTGCTGTGGTGTTTTCCAGGTATCCAGATGGGGATTAGCGCTGTAACCATGAAACTTAGTGACAGGGGCAGAACAAAGAGATTTCCCCACATCAAGCTGCTGTAGCTGAAACAGTGGAGTAGTAGACAGTATCACAATGAAATCCCTGAGAAGCACTCTCCTGCTTCCTCTCATTAACGTAGCGCTGCATGGAAAACCCATCTGTCTCTATTCACTGTTTGTTTTCGGAAGCTCGCCTTGCCCTGCCTTTGTTCACACTGTCATGCACTTTCATGACTCCCCAATTTTTGATTATCATAAAAGGCATTTTTTCCTTCTCGCATCTTGTATAGAGGATGACATTTAGGCCTTTGCTCCCGCAAGAGGCTCTCGACAGGGATGTTCCCTTGGTCCGTGCCTGTTGTCTCTCTGTGGAACTTCTGGCTCAAAATTATTTGTTTATGTGACGATGTGACTCAAATGCAACTGAAACGTTACATTTCCTTAATTACAAACAATGGTCTTTTGTAAATGATGGATGTTCAATCAATTCAAAATCTTACCTCAATATTAAGGTGCTTAAGTGACCTCTCTGGCTACAAGATTATTTGGATAAAAACTGCCTATACCCACTCAACGAGACTATGAACTAGTGAAAACTGAGGTGAAAAACCAGCAATTCTAATGCTCTTAATGTTGCATGTATGCACGTCAATCAGATTGGAATGATTTATTATGAGTATAGTGTACTCACTCTAATAATCTATGT